TTATCTTGCTTTTTCTAATTCAATTTTTAAATAAGGCAAATGGAGAAACTTATTAAATGTTGTTGCGTGTAATTTATGCGTACTATGCCAAATATGTGAGTACACTCGTATCTTTTGATTTACATGAAAAATATGGGACGTTATTAAAAAAATTTACAAAACATGACGTCTTTAATCTATAGTGAGTTCGTTCGTAATGTAAGTAATGGTTACAAATGAATTTCGATACATAAACGTGATGCGATTTAGTGTATTAAGTGTCTGCACATGTGACCTAATAAAGAAAGTGACGAAACAAGTGCTTCGATGTTGATATAAACCTCAAGTTATTTCAATCGCTTAAGCGCTTATGAACTTGTGTAACTGTTGTGGGTTGAGTGTAGTAATCTCTATTAAAGTGACGCATCACCATATTGTAAAGAAAATAATCTATAAAAACTAATATCCCAATTGAAATGAAGACATGGCTTAAAAGACAAGCATCTAAGCCAAAAATCTCAATACAAACAACAACGTTAACATGGAGGTTAGAGAACAGGAGAACGATCGCCGTAGAAAATAGTGTCCCAGAAATATGGATACCGTAAGTGAGGCGCTGCGATCGCTAAGTTCAGTCAATAAAAGTCATTTTCAGTCTATTTTCCGATCAGATGCTAAACCACTTGCACATTCACCCACAGTAAAATGATTCTCGATTTTTTACAGTTTCTTTTCGTAATAAAATTAAAAAATGACGGAGCATGAAAATTTGCTCACTAGCCGCGCTGCCGTCGATAAGTAGTGTCTGCGAAGTAATTTTTTAATTTTTGACAAAAATAAATATAAAAATAATATTTTACCATTTTTTAAATTATACTTTAATATATTAATAATAAGTCTAAGAATAGTTTGACAGAAATATACCGCCTAAATTTAAGTCGATTTTGTCACGATATAATTATTTTTATTTGCTACGATAGTGCGAAATTTCGCATTATTTGTACGTTGTCGACATTTTTGTTGTAAGATATCAGATGAAACTTCATTAAATAAGTATTAAAATCAGGATTAATCAAAATCCTCAATTTTACCGAGACATAGACTAAATAAATTTATGGACGTTTTTTGTGGAAAAACAATCTAGTAAAAGAAAGAAGAAAGGATGTCTCGACAGAAAAACTAAACTTATATTTGTTTTTAGCGTCAAATCCCAGATTCGAACCCGGGACCTCATTAAGCACAGCAGCATTTTTTTTTTTTTTTTATAGAAGAGGGGGGCAAACGAGCATGTGGCTCACCTGATGTTAAGTGACTACCGCCGCCCATGATCAACCGCAACACCAGGGGAATTGCAGGTGCGTTGCCGGCCCTTTAGAAAGGAGTAAGCTCTTTTCTTGAAGGTCCCCAGGTCGTATCGGTCCGGAAAAATCACCGGTGGTAAATTATTCCACAGAGAGGTTGTACGCGGAAGAAAACTCCTTTTGAAACGTACAGTGGTGGACCGCCAAGCATCCAGATGGTGTGGATGGTATCGGGACGTTTGCCGTGTAGTGCGTTCACGAAATTTGGCGGCTGGGATTAATCCGAACAATTCCTCAGAGCACTCCCCGTGATAGATGCGATAAAATACGCAAAGAGATGCAACATCTCTTCGCAGCGCCAGTGAATCGAGCCGATCGGAAAGCACTCGGTCGTCAACGATTCGAGCCGCTCTGCGCTGGATGCGGTCAAGTGGAAGGAGCTGGTACGGGAGGGGGGAGCCCCAGCCCAGAGATGGGAACAGTATTCCATGAGCGGCCGAACCTGCGCCTTGTAAAGTTGCAGGCGGTGTGCCGGCATGAAATACTGTCCCGCTCTGCTGAGCACGCCAAGCTTTTTAGAGGCCAATTTGGCCTTCCCTTCCAAGTGACCACGAAACTGCACGTCACTCGATATGTCGACGCCGAGGATTCCGATACTGGCTGAGGCAACAAGGGGAGTGCCTTGAAACTGAGGGGATACGACAAAGGGGTTCTTTTTAGCGGTTAACGCGCAAACTTGTGTCTTCTGAGGGTTAAACTGGACTAGATTTAGTCGCCCCCAATCCGAGACTCTGTCCAGCAGAGACTCGACTTCAGACACAAGTTTGTCCCGGCACTCAGAGACGTTTTCCCGAGAAATATTGGCTCGGCCGGTGTAAAGAGCATCACCAGTGCTGTCATCTGCATAGCAATGAATGCTACGGGTTTGCAACATATCATTGACATGCAGAAGAAACAGCGTTGGCGATAGCACGCAGCCCTGTGGAACACCAGCATTAATAAGCTTGCAATCGGAGCTTGCACCGTCTACAACGACCTTGATGCTCCGATCTGCAAGAAAACTGGTGATCCAATCGCACAATTTCTCGGGAAGCCCATAGGAAGGGAGCTTCGAAAGAAGCGCTTTGTGCCAAACCCGATCGAAGGCCTTCGCAATGTCCAAACTAACGGCCAATGCCTCCCCCTTGGACTCTACTGCCTCCGCCCATCTGTGAGTTAGGTAGACCAGAAGATCACCAGCTGACCTACCACGGCGAAAACCGTATTGGCGGTCACTAATCAGCTGGTGATCCTCCAGGTACCTCATGAGCTGGCAGTTTACAATGGACTCCATTGTTTTGGAGAACAAGGAGGTGATGGCGATAGGCCGGTAGTTGGACGGGTCTGAGCGGTCGCCTTTTTTAGGGATCGGGTGGACGAAAGCCGTCTTCCATGATTTTGGGACTACGCCTAGGGAGTAGGAGTACCGGAAAAGACGCGTTAAAACCGGTGCCAACTCTGGAGCACACGTCCTCAGCACAATTGGGGGGATTCCATCAGGCCCACTCGACTTATGGATGTCCAGGGAGAGGAGTGCTTTGCGAACCGAGCGCTGAGTGAACTGCACTTCCGGCATGGAGCACTCACACCGCGGGATGGTCGGCGGCGTACTCCCCCCGTCATCGAGAGTCGAGTTAGACGCAAAGAAAGAGCCTAGAAGATCGGCTTTCTCCTTTGCGGTGTGGGCCAGTGAGTCGTCCTCCCTGTGCAGAGATGGAAGAGATGGCTGACAGAGATTCCCTTGGACAGCCTTGGCGAGAGACCAGAATGCACGGGTTCCAGAAGGAAGACGAACTAGTCTCTCGCCAATTCTGCCTATGTGCTCTGACTTTGCCTTGGCAATGACTCTTTTGAAGGACCTAGAGGCGGAATTATACTTCTTTTTTAGAGCGCTGGTGTTTACATCCCTGGACGCTGATGCGTCAGCCCAGGCTTGGTAGCACTCCTGCTTATAGCATGATGCTATTTTACAGGAGCGACCAAACCATGGCTGAGATTTGCCTCCAATGGGCACCACAGAGGAAGGAATAAAAAGTTCCATACCCTGAAGTACCACATCAGCGACAGAATCCGCAACAACGTTGGGATCATCCGGCGAGAAGCAAACCCGCCCCCAAGGGTAGGATGCAAAGAAAGACCGCATCCCATCCCAATCGGCTGACCTATAGTGCCAAACACGGCGGCAGCCTGCAGAATGCAACCGCGGTTTCAGCGTGAGTGGCACCACACTCCGGACAAGACAATGGTCCGAGGAGCCTAAAGGGGCGTCAACGGAAATCTGATATCCGTCCGGGTGAGAGGTCAGCAGAAGGTCCAACAGGGAAGGTGCATGATCCTCCACATCTGGAATCCGCGTGGGCGAAGTAACCAGTTGTGTCAGACCATATGCCAAGGCAAAATCATGAACAGATCTCCCCCGCATGATCGGTTAAACGTGAACCGAGCCATTCGGCGTGATGGGCGTTAAAGTCGCCGAGGATCACGATCTCTGCGGAGGGGATCTGCTGTAGCAACGAATCTGCAGCCATTTGGACGTGGTCGAAGAGTCGGTCTGTTTCGGCATTACCGCTATGGGACCTATAGAGGCACCCGTAGACGCGCGGATGGTCGTCGCTGTCTACGCGTAGCCAAAGGATGGACAGGTCCGCACCTTCAAGTCTGCCGAGGCGTCGAGAACAGATGTCCTCTCTGACGTAAACGCAAACTCCAGCCCGAGGCACAAAGGAGTGTTCCAGTTTGTACCCCGGGCAGGAGAGATACGAGACATCAGCCGGAGAGGACACCTGCGTCTCGGTCAGAAAGAGCAGAGCCGGCCTCGCCGTCTCGAGATGGTAGTGGACGGCGTTTAGGTTGGAGTGAAGTCCCCTGATATTGCAGAAATTCACGGACAGCGTGGCAGGGGTCGCCTTGGTCTTGTTGCTCCGTTTGCCCCGAGCAGTTTTAGTCTTGAGCGGAATTTTGCCCCCCCCCCCAGAATACGCGGGGCAGCCTGAGCACCCACGCTCAGAAGTGGAAAAACATGGTCGTGGATGCTCAGCGAGGGATTCTCCAGGGGTGCTGGTACCCTCCTGGGGTAGTCTATCATTGAATTCCGCTACCATGTTGATGGGGGGGGGGGGATTTGGGCCTCCGGCCACCTGCACTCACCAGACGAAACGCGGAAGCAGAGCTTCCACTTCACGCCGGTATTCTGTGAGGTCGTGGTACCACCCCGGTTTGAGCCGGCCCATACGTGCGACAGCAAAGCTGCCGCGTGGCTCTACCACTGTTAACTCTACCACTGTTTATTTTACTACCCTTGTATCAACAAGGCAGGCAAGCTGCGACCGAGGGTATAGTCTAACTATTGACTGATTCCTAATTTTGAATGGTGGTGTTGGGATTTTGGACCTCTCAAACTATGGATAAATAATAAAATACAATGGTTTTCTTAAACATTTATTTACATTTTTCCTTAAAAATAATTGAACAAACCATTTCTTAACTTGTGCAGTGTTTGAATTCCTTTATTAGAACTAAAGAATCTTTTAAACTCCTTTTACTGGAAACCAGTGTTTACTTATTGGTACAAATGTAATAAATACCATAGTTATGATATTATTTAAAATAGTATTAACTTCGACTGTCTTCTATAATTCAATGCATCCAAAGCGCGTGGGTTGAGATCTATCATTCTTGCTCTCAATGGTGAGCATCGGACACCTGTGCCGTAAAAACAACAAATTAGTGTTATTGAAGACGGTTAAATTTTATACGCGGTAGAGCCATGCTGCAGTTATATTAGTAGTATAGTTGTAGCACCAATTGGTCGGCTCGACCGAGGAGGGACCACGCTCTCACAGAATAACAGCGTAAAATAGCAGCTTAATGCTGCTGTGTTTCGTATGGTGAGTGTAGAGAACCGGAGAGCCTTTTTACTGGAAATGAAGCATTCCATCGTAGTCCTCACGGGTGACAATGCATCTGCATTTTGATTTGTAATCGAGGATAGATGTAGATGTCTATGGGCCACAGCAACCACTTATCGTCAGGTGGACTGTGTGCTCGTTTGTCACCCTATACTATAAAAAAATACATTTATTTCTCAACAATACTTTTTCATAATTTAGTGGTGAAACTACTCCAGAGAGTAATTTAATATACTCGTGTTGGGGTGTTTCGTTTTTACCCTTGTGCTTAGCATTAAGTAAAAAGAAAATCCTTATTTATTTACTCATGTGTGTGTATGTGTGTGTGTGTGTATGTGTTATTAATGTGTTATTAAATATAAAGATGTTTGAAGCGTTTTGCTAGGCATGATTATACAAGGCAACATGGAAACTATTTAACATAAGTAAGGGTCTCTTAAAACAGAGGATAGGTATTGCAGCATCTTTCTGACAACCACTCAATAGAAAAATTGCTTCCCAAGTGTGGTAACTATGGTAAATGTGTCGCCTATGAGACAACCCATGAGGAAAGCCTAGCAGTGAACCTTGATAGGCTATTATTATGATGATGAAGATGAAGGGTTAGAAACAAGTACACAGTCCACCTGGTGGTAAGTGGATACTGTAGCCTGTATATCTACTAAGATGGAATGCGACAGTACTAGTAAAAAAATCTCCGTTTCTCTACACTTAGCATACGAAACAGCATTAAGCTGCTATTTTACGCTACTGAGAACTGAGAGAGCGCGGTTCTTCCCCGGTTGAGTCGACCCATTAGTGCTACAACCATAATATAGATGCAACATATCACAAAAACGCATCGGATATGGTTTTGGTTATAAATGTTGCTTTAAGATATTTATTTATAATCTACATTCATTTCGTACACCATTTTCGCGTGAATGTTATTGTGTTGATTTTTGGATTTTTATAGTGTTTTATTATAACATTGTAATGAAAGTTTTTGTGTGAATATACTTTATCTTTTTACATAAATAATTTCGAGTAATATATATTGAAATAATTGTGATTTTCACGCTGTCGACATTCGCTTGGTATGTTTTGTTTTTGTTATCAAAATACAATAGTCTTTTTGTAATGAAATAAGATACATAACAAGTAATGAACTAAGATAAAATACAAGCATACAATTTGCAGATTAATTTTTTTCATTGAAAATTTTTTTTTAAATGTTTTTTTTTGAAAAAAAAAATATTTCTATACGCTTGGACACTGATTCTGATAACACACTTAACAGGAACCACAGGGTTTTTGTTACATGTTGTATAGAGAATTTTGTATAGATTTTATAATGCCAAACTTCTTCATAGAAAATTAGTCTCTAAATATAAGTTTTAATGGTTGTAAGTGCTGCGGATGGGTGCGGTCACACGCGACCGCTCGGGATTTGCCGGGAGCATGCGACTGCATGAGCTTTTTGCCTACATGATTAAGTGACTTAGTTACGAATTTATAATTACAGAAACACTAGCAACTATGAACGAACAAAAACCTATGTTACGTACGATATCTGGAAATATAAAGGACCTCACTGAAGAAGCTTAGCTAGGGATGCGCAAGTAAAAAAATTATGTCGATATACAGGCTTGCAGGTTAAGTCGACCTAGATCCGTTAAGGAGTTGTAATGTGCATCATTTCTAACTGATTTGGCTATCAAGCAACATACCCTAGCTTGAACCATTTTTTTTAATACAGGACTTTAGTTTTTCTTTTTTCATAAAATAGACGATTTTTTTGTCTATTGTCTTTTTATTTAAATTAGTGCCTCTAATTTATTTGATTTTTTAATTTTTGTATAATAAATAAGTTGTTTTATTCTCAACATTAACATTGCATGTAACTTGGGTTGCAATCTTAGATTGAATGTTAGAAAAAGGAATAAATTCGTAGAAAGTATTTTTTTCTTTTAGAAATTAATTATAATAATACCCATAAGTGTTATACCTTTTTGAATAGCTGAAGAAACGTAGATATTTAAAAGCATATCTGCTACATACATACCATAGACTTTTTTTAATATTCCTGAAAGAAAAAACTTTTTACGAATTTTTTCCCTTTTCTAACGTTCGATCTACGAGTGCGACCCAATTCGTTTAGTTACGTGCAATGATGGTATTGGGAATAATAAAACAACTTATCTATTACACAAAAATTACAAATAAATTAGAGGCACTAATTACAAAATAAATAGACAATAGACAAAAAGTTCGTCTATTTTATGAAAAAACTTTTAAGTCCTGTGTTAAAAAATTGTTCAGTTTGGGTACGGTGGTTGATAGTCAAATCAGTCAGAAATGATGCACATTACAACCTGTAATCCTGAATATCGTTTCGATATTTTTAAACAGTATCGATATATATCGCGTGATAATTACCGATATATCGTCATGTTTCGCATGATATAGTAGGATAAGGCCCAAAATTTGTTTACTGTACGCGATTAAAAATATCGACGATATATATAATATCGATATTTTTATGAGAAAATATCGATATATCGATATGTGTTATCCAGGCCCAAGGTTAGCGATCTTCAACGACGTAATTATACTTGCTGTGTGTGTGTGGAAGAATACATCTATACCTAATCTTAATCTACAATTTTACTCACTCCGCAAGTAGCAATACTGACCTGTTGCGACTTCGTCGACTTCTTTCTCGTGCGCTTCGGCCACGGTTTCTTCAAATGAACGTATGTAAAGTGGAGTCGCTTCTCAGGGAGATCCTTAAAGCATTTCTCGCATACCTCACACTTGAATGGTTTCAAGCCGGTGTGGATCTGAAAGAAATTCGTCCATACAGTTATGATGACGGTGTAACAGAGTACACTAAGGCATATCGCCCCGTGGATGACTTTAAAGGCGACAGAGAAACTGAAACAAGTATCTTCCTGGTAACAATACAAAATTATAAAAAACTATGATATGGAGATTGTAGATTACATGATTCGAATGAAGCGATCTATGAACATTGTCTCGCGGAGGGGAGGCCACTGTAAACATAGGCCTTATACTAGCCTTCAGTTGTACACCTCCCATGGGAGGCTTGTTATGTTTTTTAAAAACAAATGTTCAAGTTTTATTGGTAAAAAGTACCTGGTTGACCGAGCTTCGCTCGGCATTTTTCGCTCGGTTTTTTTTAATTCGTGTGTTTTGGAAATTATATTTAGATACAAATTACATACTGATTAAATACAAATAATATTTTTTGATCTTAGCGACATAATAGAAAAAACTGAACTGATTATTTGAATAAATAGTCATGAGTGCAATTAGTTTAATTAAAATTTTCGTGTTTTTAAAAAATGCTAAAAAAGGGTTCGAAAAATAGATTTTCTCAAAAAAAAGAAAGGAACTTGAAAAAAAAAAAACAGTCGGTCGGTCGGTCTGGACTCGAACCAGGTTATTACGATTTTGTGACCGCCCATAATACCAATTAAGCTAATTATAATCATTAATATACTATCAAAATTTACCTTCTTATTCTAACGATATTGTAGCAGTTTTTCATTGCCTAAAAACACGGACAAAAAGACATTTTCTAAAAATAAATCCTAGCTAGATCGATTTATTGCCCCCGAAACTCCCTGCACACAAAATTTTATTAAAATCGTTGGAGCCGTTTCCGAGATTCCGATTATATATATACATATACAAGAATTGCTCGTTTAAAGGTATAGGATACAGCCTAGATCCCTCCTAACACTGCTCTCTTTCTGTTCGTGAAGGTCAATACAATTAGTTCAGACATTCCGAAAACTAGCTCGGAGAAACAAAAAACAATGTTAACAAGTCGTAAAATTAAAAATGTTGTACAAACGACTTCAATATAAATAAAATGAGAATATCAGCAATGTATTCGAAGTCAATTAAATACGCATTCTTTTGTAGGATACGGTGACAAACGAGCACACAGTCCACCTGATGGTAAGTGGTTACTGTGGCCCATAGACATCTACATATATCCTCGATTACGAATCAAAATGCAGATGCGTTGTCACCCGTGAGGACTAAGATGGAATGCCTCGTTTCCAGTAAAAAAGGGTCTCCGGTTCTCTACACTCTTCGAGCCGACCCATTCGTGCTACAAGTACACTACTAATATAACTGCAGCATGGCTCCACAACGTAAAAGAATATATTAAGGATAACTCAAAAACCACTGGCAGATCTTGATCAAATTTATATGGAACCACATGAGAAGCATCAGCTTTCCAATATAAAAAAATCATCAACATTGGTTCCAACATAAAGAGTTCTGAGATAACACACGTAAAAAATACAGTCGAATTGAGAACCTCCTCCTTGTTTCGAAGTCGGTTGAAATGTAGTTATTTATGTCTGAACATTAGGCAAACAACCTCGGGAGCTAAAAGAAGTCGCTTATTTCAATAATACAGACCTCAATATTTGTATATGTGTAGATATATAAAATATTTCTTAACCCTTCAATCCCCATAAAAATCCTATGCAGTCGCTGCGTCCGTCAAATCCCGAGCGGTCGCATTCGATCGCACCCATCCACAGCACTTTAAACCATTAAAACTTATATTTAGAGACTACTTTTCTAAGAAGATGTTTGGATTTATAAAATATATACAATATTCTCTATCCTGTGGTCTAAACAAAAGTCAGGTTTTACTTTATTAAGAAAAGATTTTATTGTATAACTATGTATATTGATAAAAAAAAAAAAATATACCAAGCGGATGTTGGCAGCGTAAAAATCACAATTATTTCTATATATTACTCGAAATTATTTACGTAAAAAGATAAATTATATTCACACAAAAACTTGCATTACAATTTCTTAACAAAACATTATACTAAAAACTAATAAAACACTAGAGAAATCCAAAAATCAACATAATAACATTCACACGAAAATGACGTACGAAATGAACGTAGATTATAAATAAATATCCCTAAATTAAATGAATTTCTATTACACTAGAGTCTAGTGTAACCGAAATTCATTTAATTTAGGGATAGAAATAGGAATAGGGAGGATAGAAAATTCATATTGATTTTATAATGCCAAACTTCTTCATACAATAAGTAGTCTCTAAATATAAGTATTTATGGGCTAAAGTGGGTAGTTGAGTAATCAAGATACGTTAGTTGGCATAAATGAAATGGGATTGATAAATTTTGTATTTGAGTGGATGGTATAAAAACTCAATTGTACCCGATAGATGGAGCTGTTGTCGAGACACAGATATCACCCGCGCGAAGCAGGGGCAGGTCGCTTAGTGTATTATAAAGTAATATAATTAGGGATCTGACCATCCTGTGTCGCTTCAAGTTGAACGCGTTGCTGAACGTCTTGTTGCAAACGCCACACTGGTGGGTTGACTTGGGTCTTCGGTGCAGCCTGCGATGGTTCACCAAGCTGTATCTGCGCGGAAACACCTTGTGGCACTGAGGACACTCGAACTGCTTCAACCCCGAATGGACCAAACTGTGATCGTTCAGCAATGCGGGACTCTGAAATTCATTAATATAATTTTATTAAGCAAAAATTGTTAAGTAAGGGTTATTATACTACTAAAAGTAATCACTACCATACTATTTCTAATGTTTATGTACCAACTGCATAAAATAATGATTTTTTTAAAGTCCCACTGGGTTTCTTGCTGATTCTTCCCAAGATAGAAGTTTTTTCCGAAGCAGTTGTAAAGCTAAAATCACTTTCAATAAGTATTTTTGTAATCTGTGTGGAATTAAAATGATCCTATTCTATTCTATTCCACAAGTAGTTTATACTTAGCGTCAGGTTTAAATAAGAGTGACAAACAAACAAAACAAAGCACACATCCCTAATGGTAGGTGCATGTGCCTGCTGTGGCCCATGGACACCTTTAACCCTTCAAACAAAGGAGGCTATAGATTCATTAGAGCCATGTGCAGTTATATTCGTAGTATAGGTGTAGCATGAGTGGATCAGCTCGACCAGGGAAGGACCACACTCTCACGGAATACCAGCGTAAAATAGTAGCTTAATGCTGGCTGCTGTGTTTCGTATAGTGAGTTTAGAGATCCGGATACCCTTATTACTGGAATCGAGGCATTTCATCTTAGTCCTCGCGGGTGACAACGCGTTCGCATTTTGATTTGTAATCGAGGATAGATGTAGATGTCTACGGGCCGCAGCAACCACTTACCATCAGGTGGATTGTGTGCTCGTTTGTCAAACAATCATATAAAAAAAGGCTGTAACTATACTGGCTCTATAACCTTCAGACTGGAACACAGCGTGACAGAAATAGTTAAGATTTTGAAGGGAAAACTTCTGAGTGTCGTTGGGATTTGAAAATAGATGAAAATAATTGAGAATAGACGAAAGAGCGACACTAAAGAGATAACATAAACATAACATAAACACTCACGCCTGTCACTCAGAGGGGTAAGCAGAGAGCATGGACTACCATCTCACACGATCCTGACACACCTCTCTCGCCTCCTCCACGGGTACTCTACTTAAGGGTACTCCTAATTTGGCCCATTTTCAATATCTCGCCAATTTGGTCGATAAACGTTTGCATAGGATATTCCTTTTCCGACTCTGCCGTTCACTTCTGCAACATCTCTTTTCTCATTCATTCTTTCCACATGACCAAACCACCGAAGCATTCCTTTCTTAATCCTGGTCACAACATCATCTTGCAAACCATACTCTAATCTAATCACACAATTTCTCAGCCTGTCACTCAGAAAAAAGTGACAAAAGTGTCTAAAAAGATAATGAGATAGAATACAGTGTAGTAAGCGATACTAGGCAAATGGCATGGTGCCAACCGCGGAATCAAAAGGTGTCCACCTGTAAGCAGTAAATAACAGTTCAAAAACTCTCCATAACAGCGCTCGAGTAGCTACGGGGTATGTTAAATCGCCGTAAAATACGTTGTGATTTTGAAAATAAAAATTTTGAAAGCAATAAAATAATTATTGTAAAAAATTATGGTGAAAGCCTGTGCAATATTAAAATTACAAAAGTTGTTTAAAATTTACACTGTAGCTAAAGTGGCGCCCCCCTTATTTAGCGCTTTCCTACGGACACTTTTATACGGAGTCTGCACTCCTTACTAATACATAAAAATTACCCTTATCAAATTCATTCATAACAATCCACAATTTCACTTACCGATTTGTATTAAATTATTTGTTTTTATGCCATCTAGCGCCCTTTTCATGTAAAACTCTGAGAGTCAATTAATTTTTGTTCAATAAAATGATTGCCTATAGAATTTTAAAAAATATTTTATTGATTCAATAAACACTAAAATTAAGTCTAAAAATAAGGACTGTTTCATTTTTTTTAAATATTAGTAATCTTATTTATTAACATTACTAATATTCCTTTGAACCACTCCTGGTAAGCTTGAAAATGCTTGTGTTAGGAGTGATTCACGACAGTAGTCAAATGGCGGATTCGAACCCACAACCTTTTGAGTTCGCGATCCGCGCCCTGCCATTAGGCTACTGGCGCTTAAAACATTTATTTGCCATAAAATTAAATGTTTTCTTGTATTTTATGTCGCACTTGTTGTTCAAAATGATCATATGAAATAAATCATTTGCCGTGAAATATTTTATTTCATTTAAGGTTCTACTTCCACCGCATGCGAGCACATAGTTCACATGGTAAAAAGGGTCTCCGTTTCTCTACACTCAGATACGAAAAACATGCGGTAATAAGCTGCTATTTTTTGAGAGCGTGTTCCTTCTCCGTTCTTTCCTTAACACTGGAAACGAGGTATCCATCTTAGTCCTCAGGGTTGACAACGCATCTGCATTTTGTTTTTAATTGATGATAGATGTGGATTCAATCATCGGCATTCAATCATCTTCTTCTATAAAAATATATAAAATAAATATATAAATTCATATTACCACACTACATACTATATAAATCTTTATCTATATAATTCTCGTCTTTGTATGTGACTAAACTCCTTTTAAACGGCTGGACCGGATTGATGAAATTGTGTGTGTGTGTTTGTGTGTGATTAAGTTGATTCCAGAATGGTTTAGATTCACATGTGAACGCGGTAGATGGCGCTGTTGTCGACATCCACAAATCACCGTGCTAAGAATATCAAATAAAAATATATTAAGTTGATTCGAGAATGGTTTAGATTCACATGTGAACGCGGTAGATGGCGTTGTTGTCGACATCCACAAATCACCGTGCTAAGAATATCAAATAAAAATATATTGTTGATTCGAGAATGGTTTAGATTCACATGTGCACGCGGTAGGTGGCGCTGTTGTCGACATCCACAAATCACCGTGCTAAGAATATCAAATAAAAATATATTAAGTTGATTCGAGAATGGTATAGATTCACATGTGCACGCGGTAGATGGCGCTGTTGTCGACATCCACAAATCACCGTGCTAAGAATATCAAATAAAAATATATTAAGTTGATTCGAGAATGGTTTAGATTCACATGTGAACGCGGTAGATGGCGCTGTTGTCGACATTCACAAATCACCGTGCTAAGAATATCAAATAAAAATATATTAAGTTGATTCGAGAATGGTTTAGATTCACATGTGCACGCGGTAGATGGCGCTGTTGTCGACATCCACAAATCACCGTGCTATGAATATCAAATAAAAATATATTAAGTTGATTCGAGAATGGTTTAGATTCACATGTGTACGCGGTAGATGGCGCTGTTGTCGACATCCACAAATCACCGTGCTAAGAATATCAAATAAAAATATATTAAGTTGATTCGAGAATGTTTTAGATTCACATGTGAACGCGGTAGGTGGCGCTGTTGTCGACATCCACAAATCACCGCGCTAAGAATATCAAATAAAAACAAAATGATCACCTTGAACATCCGCCCGCACACCTCGCACATATAGTGGGTCTCCTTCGATGCGTAGTTGGTTCGATTCTTGTCCGGGTGAGCACTCCTGAAGTGTCTGTAGTAAGAAGTATAGTCCGGCAGTTGCATTTCACACTGCAAACGAAATATTAACGATGTTTGAATTAAAACTCTGCCCATTTTACAAAGGTTATTATTATGGTGGTATTATATGTATATTCAATATAAATAAAATGAGAACAACATCAATGTAGTTGAAGTCAATTAAATACGCATTATTGAGGATAACTCTTAAACTATTGGTCAGATCTTGATCAAATTTATTAGAGACCACATGAGAAGCATCAGCTTTCAAATAAAAAAATCTAAATTGGTTCACCTGGAAAAAGTTCCGAGGTAACACTTATAAAAAATACAGTTTAAATGAGAACCTCCTTTTTTGAAGTCGGTTTATCATGAGGAAATCTTGCATACGGTTGAAAACAAACTGTTTTACTTGTAGAGCCATGCTGCAGCTATATTAATTGTATAGTTGTAGCACGAATGGGTCGGCTCGACCGGGGAAGGACCACGCTCTCACAGAATATCAGCATGAAATAGTAGCTTAATGCTGCTGTGTTTTGTATGGTGAGTGTAGAGAACCGGAGACCCTTTTTACTGGAAACGAGGTATTCCATCTTAGTCCTCAAGGCTGACAACGCATCTGTATTTTGATTCGCAAGTGAGGATAGATGCAGTCTATGGGCCGCAGCAACCACTTACCATCAGGTGGACTGTGTGCTCGCTTGTCACCCCTTTTCTATAAAAAAAATCGCTAATCACAATTTAAAAAAACGCACTCGCACCTGCTCACAAGATATGGGAGTTTCCAGCTCACTGTCGCGCTTTCCCTTCTTACCACTATTCCTTTTATCATTTGATGACTCTCCATTATCGCTCAACGTATCACAGTCTGTCCGTCTTTGACGGTTTAGCACCTCCTGCTCCAGTCTGGAACTAAAGATGGTGTAAAATAATGATTTAATATTTACACAACACTATGTATACATACATAAAATTCACAAGGACAAACATTCAGACCCGGAACAATTATTTGCAGGCCATACAAACACTTGTTCCGTGCGAGGTTCGAACCCGCGCGGCCTCCAGCGCTGCAATTCATTGCTAAGCCACTGCGCCAATAAGCGGTCAACACATTACGAGTATCCATTACCATTATAGCATATCAACGGTCCACTGTTAAACATAGATCTCTCCCATAAATTGCCTCATATATCTTAAGCGGTAATTCACTAGATGGACTTGCCCACGGGCGTGTCTACATACATGCCTGCCGGACTTCGCTACTATAAGTCTTTACAAAGTTTGGTAATGTGCGGGAACGGGGGAGTGGGCGGAGCCCGCGTAGCCACTAAAATGTCACTAACACGTCAATTCACACGTATAAATGTCAACTCGAGATGTGTTATGACGTTACAATCGTTTCCAAATTTCTCATGCAAATTATTTAGAAAATGCCAAATTGCACGCTATTTACAAAGAAATATGTATTAAAATTTACGCGATTTTTTAATGATGATCTTGAACGTTAATCAAAAGTCTAAAATGTGTAAATTTATTCGGTCTGTCAATACAGCGAATCGGGTTTGGCGACGCCAAGCCTCGTGCAAAATAAAGTTGACAGCCATTCTATTGTATTATTAGTATTGTGGACCGTCGCAGTCGGTCTGGCAGATTTGCCTGTTGAACGTCCGCGCGATCTCATTTTGTCTGCGCGAGCACACACATGCCGCCTGAATGTGATTGTTAACTGCGGGCTTTCTGTTCACAGACACAAGAGCGACAGCAACCAGTGTAAACGGTCTTTTATTATTATTTAACGAACTTTGGAGATTTTTAATTTGCAATGAGTTTTAATGATAGTAAAATATTCTGGGAAGAGTTTATACGACTCTATATCCATGCGCAAGTACTTGTACAGGTCTCCTGGTTCATCGATTTCTAATTCTTATTTCTATTTTTATACCATTCCTTGCACCAAATTAATATCTTAATGTGCACGCACAATTAATTACGTAGCCGGTCTAAAACAAACTGACGAGTCTGTGTAGTGTATTGCGGCAAAATACATGCCCGGACAAGCAACCAGTGGACATGTCCGTCTAGTGCAGGGGTGGCGAACCTTTATGTATAATCAACGTGCCATTTTTCTAAAGGAATTTTTATATAATATTTTTTTTAGAATAGGCGTGCCGTTAAATAATTTTGACTTCGTGATTATTGGGAAAATAATAGTACTAAATACTATCCACTCAAAACCCTTTATTTACTATAAAAAACAAATAAAGAGTTTTGAGTTGAGACATTTATAATACATTGCAAGTGTTGCTGCAGAGTGGATGACAAATAACTTATATTGGGATAGTAATATCCTAAATATAGCACAAAAGTATTTTTAAATACCGTGTTGTGTCAACGAAATTGACAATTATGGTATGCGTAAATTAACTATGCATTCCTTGGGGGAGGCGTGGACTTGTGAAGGGCTGTAATGATGATGATGTTGATGATGAAACGAACTATCCGTCATTAAAAATGGCACTCACATTCGTTCGTAATATAATACTTCACAGTGAACTTTGTGATCGGTGGCGTACCCAAAATATTAAGTGCCATTGGTTCGCCATTCCTGGTCTAGTGGATTCCCCCCGCTTTAGTCATAGTTGCCACGTTTGGCGGGCGTGTTGGCTACCTCAGATTTTTATACAGATGATATCAAAAAGATTCTGCCAATCTCCTTATCTAACCTATCCATATGCTGATATGGGATAGTGGTTATTCTTACACCGCCACTACACCGTCTAGTGGTCGTAAGCACAGTTACCGATAATTAGGCCCCAGGTTCGAGTTTCGGTTCGGAGAGCAAGTCAAAGTGAAGACAGGACGCCTTGTTAGCAGTAGACATGTCTCAATCATTCATTTCTCGTGACCGAATCACTCTAGTACATTACGTCGGTACATTCGGATCAATCATTCAAATGGATCATTTCGGGCTCCAGTACCCTACACTAAAACAATTCATTCAGATCATTCGGGATTCGGTCGGCTTTCGATTCACTCACAATTTACACCAATCACGGGTTACAAAGATTCGGTAAATTGTTTGTGATAGGTTGCACCGGAACATGCAAAAACAGATGAATGAACCATCAATACTTTTAAGTGTACCAACTCAAACGAACGAATCAATCATGATTGACACATGTCTAGTTACCAGTAAATACTAACAGTTACTGTTACCGTTACAGAATATTAAAGCCCACTGCTGAACATAGTCCTCTCCAATTGATTGCCTCACAGGGGGTATTTGCCATATTTGCCACGCTTGGCAAGCGGGTTAGCAATCGCAGTTTTATATTTGAAGTCGTCGAAAGACAGCTGCCCATCTCCTGATTTGGTTCCCTCTGTCGCCTATTACGACAACCACCGGATGATATCGGGTAGTGGATATACTTACAATACCACTGGATCCTATACAGACCATATTTGTGTAAATATGAGAAATCATTAAACAATTCCGAGCTTACACTCACCTATCTTTATGTCTTCTTGATAATTTCAAATGTTTCTTCAATGCGCTTTCTGAAGCGAACTGAATGTCGCACTCCTCGCAGGACAGACCATCCTCTGTTGGCTTTAACAATATTTGAAAGGAAAACTTCAATAAACAAACAATTATCAGTCGTAGGACTGCACGTCAGATGTGAAAACTGCTTATCTTTCAAAAACATCAAACTTGTACAAAACATTATTTGTGAGTTGTTAAGTATGTAATATTTTTTAGGAAGTATTATTATAGTAATAAAATTTTCATTTACTGTTCTGCTTTACATAAAAAAAGAACTATTATTATCTATATAATACATACAAATTTATAAATAAATATCAATTTTATAAAATTTTATCAATTGGATTTTCAACAGTAGTTTCATGGACCGTGAAGGTCACGCGAGTGTTTTTTTTTAATAAAATAATGGTGACAAAGGAGCACACAGTGTACCTGATGGTAAGTGGTTGCTGTGGCCCATAGACATCTACATATATCCTCGATTACGAATCAAAATGCGAATGCGTTGTTACCCGTGAGGACTAAGATGGAATGTGAGAGTGGTTTCTAGTAAAAAGGGTCTCCGGTTCTCTACACTCACCATACGAAACTGTACTGTTTTTACGCTGGTATTATGTGAGAGCGTGATCCTTCCCCGGTCGAGCCGACCCATTCGAGCTACAACCATAATATCGCTGCAGCGTTGCTCTACCAGTTATGGTAGGATCAGTGCTTTCTCCCCACCCGAAAAGTGCCCAACGTGCCTAAAGAAGTTTTTATTTCAATAAGACTCTTCTTCATTTTTTAGATGTTTTTTAATGAAGGGTGACAAACGAGTACACTGTGGTCTACTTGATGGTGAGTGGATGCTGTGTCCCATAGACATCTACATCTATCCTTGATTAAGCATAAAAATGCAGATGCGTTGTCTCCCTTGAGAACTAAGATGGAATGCCTCGTTTCCGCTAAAATAGGTCTCCGTGAGTGTAGAGAATACACTCACCATACGAAACACAGTAGCATTAAGCTGCTATTTACCGTTAGTATTGTGTGCGAGTATTATAGTATATTAACTAAACTCCTACCACCCAGTACAACAGTACATGAAATTGAGATGTGCCCAGCAGTGGGCCGTTTACTCACCTCCAGTCCATCGAAGCGATGCTTCAACTTCTTGTGTTGCGCTAACCCAGTCTTGCCGATGAACGAGTTCCCGCACAACTCACAAACGAACTCCGATGGATGCTTTAAACGTACATGACTCAGATACGTGGTGAATTTGCTGAAAATTAGCACCGATCAATAAATATCTAGCGCTGGATATATCATTATAGGGACTAATTTTGCCCATACAAAGTTCCCATAATAGCCGTATTCCAAATTCAATGTGTGTATATTGATTAAAACTACTTTTACGGATTTTATAGCGTTAGCGTATTTATATTAATTTTAATACCCGACGTTTCGGGTGCTTTCCAGCACCCATGGTCACGGGGGACTGAGGTGACTGACGCACAGGTGCTACGCACTAGACATTCCGAACACTCACTTTGTTCAACCGAACTGTACTGCAATCCGTACACCTGTTATTGTGGCTTCCATATTCATGCAGTGCGGAGCCGCGATAATAATAATTTATTATTCAATTAGCACATATGCACAATAAATGAAAATTTAAAAAAATGTACTCGATTAACAATACAATCCTAATAAACATTTATTATGACAATTTTCGCGCGTTTAAATCAACTGCGCATGCGCGGATACAGAGTAGTGCACATTTTTTGTTTGGAATAGCTTCTCTAGTACGTAGTACATATAACTCAATGTGTATTATTAACATCGGTATTTAGCGCTGTACACATTTAAAGCGAACGATGTCGTTCGGGGACTGTAGTCACCATGGACAGTTGACGCAAAAATTTTTGGGGGACTCAGTCACCGTGGACGCTTGAGTGGTTATGGCAACTTTTATAGTTAAAAAATGTAACGTTCATATTCTCTCTGCCTCTGTAACTAATTAAAAATGTGTGTTCAGTTGCCTGTATGTAAAAAAAAGCGAAATCAAATTCAACACACTTTTTAGTTTTTATTTTAATACTAATTGTATTGTGAATCTATATTCTGTATTTGTGGATCAAAATGAATTCTTTAACAAATTAAGTACAGCGCCACCTATTGGTTGCTAGTAAAGCTATGAATCATCGTCTGACAAAATAAATATGTTGTGTAAGGCCCGCTACACACCAGTGGCGAAGCTTCCATAAAAGCCGAAAAGCCGGGCTTGCCTTATTAAAACTGAATCAATCAATAATATCAACTAATAAAATAACTCATAAACTGTTTCAAATTATTTCAATTTTCCCGCGCACTCCACTGTTCGACACATGTCGACCGATGTCCTCGTATTGCCTTAGCGATACGTTTATACAAAGGTAATCTGTGGCGATACTGCTGCTGTCATAAAGTGAGTTTTGATAGCGCGATTAGTTGTCTCCCTCGCTCGCGTGGGCTTTTTACGGGGCTTTCGAGAAGACGATCGCTCTCTTTCTAACCTATGGCAAAATATTCTATAATGAAATATAACTACGAAATGTTTATATAGCAATTACTATTGAGCCAACAAGCCTGGCTTCGACATGAAGTTGTTTAGGAGTGCGTTAGCGACTAACGAAGTGGTTACGGGCCCCTCGTATGCAAGTTCACTTCACATTTCAATGTTTATGTTTGTTTTTGTTGTGTTTGTTAAAAATTTATGCTTTTTCGAAGATTTTCAGTGAAAATGGTAGGATAATAGTGTTCATTGTGATGAATATAAGTGTGTTGAAGTGCTAATCGGCGAGGAAAAGGTAAAAATCTTTAAAAATGAAATTTAATATTCAATAAACATTTCTTCATACTTTTTTTTAACTTTGTACATAGTTTGTTTGTACTTTGTTCATGCTTTTCTTTTGTTCATGTATTGTATTGTTCGTAAATATCTCAAGCAAACCCAAACGGCTCTTTTCAAAACCACCGAAGGTGTGCAAATGCATATTATGTCATACAATCTATTTAGCGGTAGTGTGCTTTCTGTGTGCTTTGTTAAACACGTCCTTGTCAGCACTGAATATGAAACTAAAGAGTGGAGACAGCTCAAGATTGGTGTATTTTTATTAAACTGCTAAAAACAACAAAATCATATCTTGGGCTTGCCCTAGCTTCGCCACTGCTACACACTACATACGGAATTTCGTAACAGAACTAATGAGTCGGCCACACACATACGGTCATACAATTAAGGCCCGCCACATACACATTTTTATTACATACATACTTAATTGATAGAATCAGGCGACCTCAATGAGGGAGTTCACTTTTTCTGCCACTAGGGCGGCGCTACTTTACAATGAAGTGAAATATTGCACAGATTTCATATTTATGAAAAGGTGCAACGTCATGTGACGTAGATTGCAATTCATTTTTATAGAATAAGGGTGATTAACGAACACACAGTCCACCAGATGGTAAGTGGATGCTGTGGACATCTACATCTATTTTCAATTGAGAATCAAAATGAAGATGCGTTGTCACCCTTGAGGACTAAGATGGAATGTCACGTTTTTAGTAAAAAGGGTCTCCAGTTATCTACACTCACCATACGAAACACAGCAGCATTATACTGCTATTTCCCGCTGGTACTCTGTGAGAGCGTGGTCCTTCCCCGGTGGAGCTGACACATTCGTGCTACAATTATAATATAGCTGCATTGTGGCTCTACCACGTATAAAATATTCATCGACTATTTTGGTCCAATATAGGAGTTCAAAATTAAAACTGGTTCACAATCGAACAAAGATATCATCTGCCACAAATACAAAAAAAAAACACACACTCAACACCCCTCCTTCGTTTTTGAATCATTAAAAAGGTGACACATTATCAGTTACTGGGTTTTTCTGTCAAGAAATTCTCAATAGCAGTCCTAAATCAGAAACTAGATGGTGTTCGATTCCCGTGCCTCAGGAAGTATGTCAAACCATCGCTCCGTCTGATCTCACTGAGATCATGTTGGATCGCCATCTCATCGGACTATGAGAGTGAGGGAATAGAGAGTGCACCTGTGCTAGCGCATACTTTCGTGCACTATAATCCTGTCCTGCGCAGCTGACTAGTCACCGCTGAGACTGGCCACTGTAATCGAAATTCAGTCATTATGGTTACAGCCAATCAAAGCCCACTGCTGAACATAGGCCTCCCCCATAGATTGTCTCATAAGTAAAACATTTGCCATAGGTGGCACACTTCGCAAGGGGGTTAGCAATTGCGTTTTTTATTTTATAGGATAGGATGACAAACGAGCACACAGTCCACCTGATGGTAAGTGGTTGCTGCGGCCCATGGACATCTACATCTATCCTCGATTACGAATCAAAATGCAGATGCGTTGTCACCCGTGAGGACTAAGATGGAATGCCTCCTTTCCAGTAAAAAGGGTTTCAAGCATTAAGCTACCATGTCACACTGGTATTCTGTGAGAGCGTGGTCCTACCCCGGTCGAGCCGACCCATTCATGCTACAACTATACTACAAATATAACTGCAGCATGGCTCTACCACGTAAAAACGTTATTAGCAGGACGCTACTGCTCATCACCTGATTTGTTTCCCTCTATCGCATCTTACCACACATACACTCACGGGATGATATGGGGTAGTGGATATTTTTACACCGCCAGTACCTGGTATGGTGGTTACACTATTATAAAATACTCTCTTCATTTAAATGTGGGGAGGGACTTTAAAAACGCGAAATCTATTATATAGTAATCTATTATATAGAGATTAATTAATATATTTGTCTATTCTTCTCAGTCGATACGCTCTTGACAGAGCGATCGTGGTCGTCACTTGGGTGTTGTGGCACGCTCTACAATACGCCTCCACTCCTCCCTAACAGCTGCCTTTCTTGTGCACTCATGCAACGGGACATCCACCGCAGCCCTCACCTGGTCTGTCCATCTCATAGGCGATCTGCCACGCGCTCTAGTGCCCTCTACTCTTCCCTGGACCACTAGACGTTCAATCGAGATATCATTACGTCTAGACACGTGACCAAAGAAAGTGAGTATGCGAGCTTGCACAATAGATGACAGACGTTGCTTCTTGCAGTTCTTCAAGAATGGACTTATTGGTCCGGAATTCGGTCCAGGACACTCTCAGCATTCTTCTCCAGCACCACATCTCGAGAGCGTCTATTCACTTCTTCTCACTTTCTCGCAGGGTCCATGTTTCCGAAGCGTAGAGGAATATGGGGAACACAAGCGCTCTAACTAACCGGGTCTTAGTGGCTTTTGTTATGTTACGGTTCCTCCATATCTTCCGCAACTTATCCATGGCTGTCCTAGATATCGCCATACGTCGTTTTATTTCATCTATGCAGCCCCCGTTGCTCAAAATTATATTTGTCTATACATATAATAAATCTGTAGAAAAATTATGTGTATGCGATTCACGCAAAAACTTTTAGAGGGATTTCTATGAAATTTTTTATGTAAGCAGTAAATGACCGTGTATAACATATAGGCGACTTTTTATCTGCTTACAGAAGAGTAAAAAAGGATTATGTTTTTCCATTTTTTTTTAAAGTTTATGTCATTATGGCTTCTATTTGTTCTAAAGAGGATTTAGCTATACATATAATAAATCTATAGAAAAGTGTATGTGTGTGTGTGGAAATTAAAACGTCGCGCCACCAATCAGAAAGAGCAGAACAACGTCTCTACTGGGTCAGCTAGTATTATATATAAGTATAATTAATAAATAAACTCACACAAAAGTTTCTGGGCACTGCGGACATTTGTATGTTTGACCGTTATGATAGTCTTCATGCATCTTCGCGGTTTGCCTGTAACAATAATAAACACAAAAATTAAATTATATTTTTATTTCATCTTCTTTTACTGTTGCTGTACAGCCTATATATAGGCCTCCCCCATTTTATTTATTTATTTATTTATTTTATTCGGTTGACCAACAGTGTACACTAAAATTAATCAAACACTTCAGTAATAATACTAAGTAAATGCCTCACTATATACAGGTGAGCACAGCATGTACCAAAAGTTACTTATAGTATATTATAAAACGAAACAAAATCAACTATTTAACAATACAGCAAAAACATTTCATTATATCATTATTGATATCAATATAGAGAACGGTCTTTTTAATTTTAGATACAGAGGTTGTGTTAATATCTAGCAGTAGAATATTCCTACACCTTGTAAAGATGAGATATCGAGTAGTGTGACTTAAGGTTTGTACTGCAGTGACTTTTATGCAATTTTAGATAGTAAGTAAGGGCAGTGTAAGTTTTCTATAAGGTGCGTTGGGGCAATACTGGACGGATTTTCGGCTAGTTAAAAGAGTCTGGCAAAAACTTTATTTTCTCGACATCCATATACGTCAGATTTCTGAAACATGGCGCAAATCGTTAATGATTACACGTAATTTAGCTAGAAGAAGCTTTTACTTTTCAAAACTCAACAGTATTTGCTTAAAACGTATGCGAAGACAAGGCATAATTTTTTATATGCATGATGAAGAATTGGCCATCAAGGTGAAGACCGGACGTCGCTAAAATCGCAAATAAAAGTGATAGGGAAAGACCGGACAGACGAAAAAATTCAAAAATTACCTAGTATTATAAAATACTGCGCAGCACACGCCCTACATTTCGGAGCGACTGGCTGAAACTTGGGGTCGGCGCAGAATAAAATGGAGTCTTGTACCATATTGCTAGCTTTCAAAAATATAGCATAATTCACCGGAAATTTTTATTTTACGGTCTTACCCCATCACCGATCTTACCCCAATGCACTATAATTACTTTGTGTTGTGTCTCAAGGGTTGATATCTTGAAGTTAATATGCCTTTATTTTTATATGAATTCATTTTTTTAGTCATGTTACAGCTCAAAGTAAAGTAGATGTTTAACAAATCTTTTTTGTATCCTTTCGATACGATTGATGTGATTTTTGAAGTTGCTGTCCAAACTATAATATAATATCCAAGATGTCGCCTGACTAGAAAGTTAAAAAGTATTTTCTTAGTTACTGTTTTTTAAAAGCTTTTGGATTAACTTAGTAAAAAAGCAAGCATCTACAATGCTTTAGAAACTAAAATATCAATACAGTTAGCAAAATTAATTTTATGATCTATTACGACACCCAAGTCACGAATGTGGGTGCACTTCCTCTAGTGTTTCAGTGTTAAGGGCCCGAGATGGTCAAACAGTTTGATTCAAATACGTAGATTTTGGTTTGAGTCAAACCAATTTGATCGTTTACGCCGTTGGTATGACAGGTTTGATCAAACATTACGTGTTTGAAGCTCGTTTGAATTATATTTTGGTTTTGTTCGTGTTAGCGACGTGTTTGATCAAACCTCATCAGTCTTGTGCTGAATTTGGAAGCGATACGCTCTGTGTGGTTTCCAAAATGACAGACGAAGATGAAATAGATATTGAAAACGCCTCAACGTCGTACGACACGATTTGTCGTCGGAAGTGATTATATCCAACGACTATATCAAACGATATCTTAATTTGTACCATTCTTTGGATCAAATTCTTTTTCTTATTTTCTTATTCGAGAAATAAACGCGAGAAAATCTTTATCCATAGTCTACGGCATTTTTTGAAATCACAATAGGACTTTCATATTTGAATTTTGAAGTCACACTGAACGCTTCTGTTTGATGCGAATTCAAAGCGACATCAAACGGTTTGGTCAAACACGTGAGAAACACGTTTAAATCAAACCGTTTGACCGTCTCAGGGTTAAGAGTGTAAATGTGTATTATGAACGTAGAATACTATAATACACAATAGAATGGCTGTCAACCTTATTTTGTTAGGCGTCGCCGGGAGTACAAATACAAGCAATAACGCCGTATTATCACTACTACAAACCCGATTCGCTGTGTTGACAGACGGATTTTAATACATATTTATTTGTAAATAGGGTGCAATTTGGCATTTTCTAAATAATTTGCATGGGAAATTTGGAAACGATTGTAACGTAAAAACACATCTCGTGTTGACATTTATACGTGTGAATTGACGTGTTAGATGCTACACGGGCTCCGCCCACAACCCCTGTTCTATTATGTATGTATTATAGTATTCTAAGGTAACACTTCGAGAAAGAGCTTTATCTCGCGTACCCTTACAGCCAAACTGATAAATCATTATAAATATATATAAAAATCAATTGCAGGACGTTAGTCGCGCTAAAACTCGATAATGGCTCTACTGAATTTGCAAACATTTTTTGGGTGTGTTTGAATGGGTCGGTATTGCTGAGATCCAGAATTCATAAATACGAGGCCGGGCCGGATAATCATAGGTCTTTTATTATTTCCTCAACAATTTTAGTAATAATAAAATATATGTGGTAGAGCAACATTTTAGTGGCTACGCGGGCTCCGCCCACTCCACCGTTCTATTATGTATGTATTGTATGATTGTGAATGCTTTTGTTTCTAGTAAATTTTATGTGATTACACTCTAGATTGCCTCTTATGGAGGATAGTTGCCACGGCCGGCATATTTTTATGTTAGTCATTTCAAGTAAGTCGCCGCTGCCCGTCTCCTGATTAATTTCCCTCTGTCACTTCTTACGACGAAACCCACAGGATAGTAGTGGGTACTCTTTTACTCCGCCACTCTATGGTCTTCTTTTAAATTAAAATGAATCCAGGAGCAGGAATGTTGTTTTCTGCCCAGGAGCGTGTCTGGGTGGGTGGTGGAGCCATGCTGCTAGACGTGGTAGAGCCATGCCGCAACTATGTTACTGGGATAGTTGTAGCACAAATGGGTCAGCTCGACCGGAGAAGGACCATACTCTTTCAGAATACCAGCGTGATATTTTTACAGTTTAATGCTGCTGTGTTTCGTATGGTGAGTGTAGGAAACCGGAGACTCTTTTCACTAGAAACGAGGCATTCCATCTTAGTCTTCGGGGGTGACAACGCACCAGCATTTTGATTCTTAACCGTGAATCTCTGATTTAAATTTTCATAAGCCACGGCAACCATTAAACATTAAGTGAGCTGTGTGCTCGTTTGTAGACATAGGTAACTCAGCGAAATTCCTTGTGTTGACTCTAACTCAGATTCGATTTTGTTTTGCGTTAACTCAAAACAACATAACTGTGTGATCAGTATGATATATTAGGTACTAACTTTTTTATAGGATGTGGGTGACAAACGAGCACACAGCCCAGCTGATGATAAGTGGATGCTGTGGCTCATAGACATCTTCATTTATCCTCGTTTGCGAATCAAAATGCAGATGCGTCGTCAGCCGCATTAACAGCACAGCAGCATTAAGCTACTATTTTACGCTGGTATTCTGTGAGAGCGTGGTCTTTCCCCGGTCAAGCCGACCCATTCGTGCTACAGCTACACTATTAGCTAGAGCATGAGCATAGAGCATAGTATACGTATAAAATAATATATCACTCCTTTTACATTTCACGGAGTTGCAGTTTTTAAAACTAATATAAAATAACAATATTTTAACCTCGGTAGAATTTCCCGGTCTTACGTTGTGCGCCAACACATTTTGAAGAAGCGAGTTGACACACCAGTGGTAAATAAAAAATGACTTTCAATAAGTATTATACAATAATCTATATTGAATAAAATCTTCGACCAACTAGATGTCGGGTCGGCGCAAGAAATCCATCTCAGTAAATAAGAGCGCACATGAGACGTGAGTTCTTGCACGTGAGAGTGTAGCTCGCAAGGCTATAACGGGAAAAAGAACTTTATTCGTTATAATCGTATTTTATACGTGGTAGAGCCATGCTGCAGTTATATTAGTAGTATAGTTGTAGCACGAATGGGTCGGCTCGACCGGGGAAGGACCACGCTCTCACAGAATACCAGCGTGAAATAGTAGCTTAATGCTGCTGTATTTCGTATGGTGAGTGTAGAGAACCGGAGACCCATTTTACTGGAAACGAGGCATTCCATCTTAGTCCTCACGGGTGACAACGCATCTGCATTTTGATTCGTAATCGAGGATAGATGTAGATGTCTATGGGCCACAGCAACCACTTACCATCAGGTGGACTGTGTGCTCGTTTGTCACCCTATCCTATAAAAAAAAAAAAAAAAAAAAAAAAAAACTTAAGGTTGATTTCACACTAAACTTTATTTTATTTATGTCTTTTTATAGTTTATATTCATGCGGACAGTATTTAGCTATGATTTTGTACGTGACCCGTTATCTAGTTGGTGTTGTTGATCGAAGAATAAAATCATTAATTTAATTTCATTTCATTTTATCGGCGCAGTGTTACCCATGTCTACTTATTTGTTTGTCACTTATTCTATAAAAAACATCTGATCCGGCAATGTATGGAGACAATAGAGAGTCCTTAATGTGGGCAACTCACCTTCCAGTGGTAACATAGGGACATAGTTTGCACCTAAACTTCTGCGCGTGGATTGTAATATGTTTTCGTAGTTTCCATAGTTTGCTGAAATGTACTTTGCAGATACCGCAAACGTAGGTGCCGTATTTCTGAAAAAGAAAAAAATTTCAACCTTGCTGCACATAAACAAATAAAAAGTATTTATTTGCCACACAAAATACAATGCTGAAATTTAAATAGAGAGGTTGTTAATAATTAGTTGTGACAAAACGGTCTGTGACTCAGTTGTAACGGGAAACCCATTACTCCTGCTATTCTGCCACAGCCTTTGCGCATTAACCGTACTGAGTCTCAATTGATGAAACACACGTACCAACAATAAATAAATAAAAACAATAAATAAATTATAGTTACTAAAATACAAATAGGTAGTGTTCTCTAACTTGAGGATAAGAGCTACATAGAGCCAGGGCCAGCTGTTGAATACTCCGTAGCGCAGTGGCTTAGTAATAAGTGGCTGCGCCCGGAGTCGCGGGTTCGAATCCCGCACGGAACAAGTATTTGTATGGCCTACAACTAATTGTTCCGGGTCTGGTTGTTTGTCCTTGTGAAATTTACGTTTGTAAACTGCCTCCACGATACAGGAGAAAATCCTAGTGTAGGGGTAACATTATAAAAAAAAAGAAAAAAGAATAAGCTACTTGCGATATGTTACTCTTGTTTTTAGAAATATTGGTGTAAGGCAGCCTGCCTTACCAGTTAATTTTTCTTGCGTAGGTACCACTTCGAGAAAGAGCTCTATCTCGAGTACCCTTATAGCCAAAATGATAAATCATCTTAATATATATATATATAAATTATGGGTGCGTTTCAGAAAAAGGAAGCGCTTGGTCTGACACATGCCATTTTCTTATTTAATTTGTTTGTTTTGAAGTAGAGCTTATAAGTTGTTTTGTGCAATATTGTTTTAAGTAATATAATGACATGAATAGGTAAACATATACATGTTAATAATATGTTGTGTCCTGAAGAAACTACAACGTTACCGCTTAAATCCATTTTGTAAAGGTTGCAGCGCTTTTTTCTGCCAAACGCACCCTATGTGTCACGTTGTTTGTCCGCGATGGACTCCTAAACTACTTAACCGATTTTAATCAAATTTGCACACCGTGTGCAATTTGGCCCAACTTGAGAGATGGGATAGTTTTTGGCCCATGAGTGACCCACAATTTTTTTTGCGAAAACGAGCATTTTTAATAGGGCATAACAAAGTGTTTGCGAAAAGGGCAGAACAACCTGGCAAAGCCTGGCAAGCTAGTTATATATAAAAATCAATTGCAGCATATTAGTCTCACTATAACTCGATTATGTCTCTATTGAATTTACAAACATTTTTTGTTGTTTGAGTGGGTCGGTGTTGCTGAGAACCAGAAATCATCCATACGAAGCCAAGGCGGATCTCTAGTAATATATATATATATATATATATATATGTGTATATATATAAATATATAAAATCATGTTTAGGTCTTTTATTACCTCCTCAACAATTTTAATAATAATAAAATATATGTGGTAGAGCCATGCTGCAGCTATATTACGAGGGTGGATTGAAAAGTACTCGGCCTAACCAAGAAAATAAACACATACTAAATCAGTTATATTTTTATTTTTCTACATAATCACCATCAAGTTCAATACACTTTTGCCACCTCCCCTTCCAAGCATTTAGACCGTTGAAAAAAAATGATTCTTCCTTAGAGTCAAAATATGCGTCTACAGCTGCTTTGACCTCGTCGTTTGTCGAAAATCTTTGACCTCCCAAGTGCTTTTTTAGGTTAGGGAACAGAAAGAAGTCTGATGGTGCCAGATCAGGTGAATACGGCGGATGCGGTAACAGTTCAAAGCCACAGTTGTGAATTTCAGCCATTGACTGTACTGACGTGTGAACACGGGCGTTATCTTGATGAAACAGGACTTTTCTTCTGAGCATTCCTCGACGTTTTTCTTTTATTTCCTCTCGTAAACGACGTAGTAAGGTGCAGTAGTAATCAGAGTTTATAGTCTGGCCCCTTTCAAGATAATCAATCATAATCACACCTTTCGAGTCCCAGAATACTGAAGCCATCACCTTATTTGCCGACAAAATCGACTTAGCCTTTTTAGGGGGTGGTGAACCAGGTCTTCTCCACTGTTTTGATTTTTGTTTTGTTTCCGGTGTACAGTAATGAACCCATGTTTCGTCCATAGTAACAAAACGATTCAAAAAATCATCTGCATCGGCTTCAAATAACTCCAAACAGTCGCGTGAAATAGTCAATCGCGTCCTTTTATGTTCAACTGAAAGCAGTCGCGGAACCCGCCTCGCAGACACCTTGTGGAAACCCAACTCGTTGACAATGATGTTTTGAGTTCGTTCATAAGAGATGCCTATAATCTCGGCTATCTCTCTAATTTTTAATCTGCGGTCTCCCATTATTAAATCAAGTACTTTTTTAATATTTTCGTCAGTAGTTGACGTCGAAGGCCTTCCAGAGCGGGGTTCATCTTTCACATTCTCTCTACCACGCTTAAATTCTGCTATCCATTTTTTGACGGATGAATATGACAGAGCACAATCGCCTAATGTACTGACCATGTCATCATGGATGGCTTTTGATGATAGCCCCTTCTTATGGAGGTACTTAATGACGGCACGCTGCTCGATTTGCTCCATTCGCGGAAATTATGTCCGATTACTTTGTTAATAAATTTATAAAATCACAACTAATTATCGCACACGTTTCGAACTTCACACAATGAACTAGTCTGAACTGAACTAAATAATGTGGGTAGATTTGATTTTTAGAATTGAATGGATCTGTGTTAGGCCGAGTACTTTTCAATCCACCCTCGTATGGTTGTACCACAAATGAGTTGGCTCGAACCGGGAAGGACCACGCTCTCACATGATACCAGCGTAAAATAACAGCTTAATACTAACTAAAGTTAAACTAGCTTTGCTGATTTTGGTTTCTATGTTTTTGTTCCAGTTAAGTTTACTGTCCAAGGTAAGACCTAGGTATTTCACCACGGAAGAAAGTTGGAGTTTTGTGCTAAAAAGACGGAAGATGATAGTTATTCAGCATTTGTTTTTGTGTGAACATTACTATAACCGTTTTATTTGGATTAACAGTTAGGTCATATTCGCTGCACCATCTCTCCACAATACGGAGTGCCGCTTGGGTCAGGTGGCACACAATGCTTGCTGTCTTACCAGAGACCAGTTTTGTTAGATCATCTGCATAACCGACTGTGTAGAAATGGTTATCGTCTAATTTGCTGATGAGCTCATTAATGACCATATTCCACAGGAGAGGTGAAAGAACCCCACCCTGCGGGCATCCTTTCATGATCTGAATTGTCTCAGATTCACCAGCAATCTTTATTGTTCGTGTACTGAGCATGTTTACTATCCAGTCAGTGCTGGTTCAACATTATGTCTACTTAGGGCACCTTTTATGCTGGAGAAATTTGTTCTGTCAAAAACACCTTCTATGTCTATGAAGGAGCCTAGACATATTGCTTTGTTTTGGATGGCCTCTTCAATCTTTATTACCTGGTGAAGTGCCGATTCTGTTGATCTACCTAAGCTATAGGCGTGTTGTTTTTCGTGTAGCGGTAAGTTAATTAGCGCCGACCCTCTCAACTCCCGTTCACACATGCTCTCCATCGTCTTTAGGAGAAAGAATGTGAGGTTAATGGGTCTAGGATTTAGGGTCTGTATAGTCGTTCTTACCTGGTTTGGATATGAACGTGACTTTCACTTCCCTCCATCCCCTAGGAACATATTTAAGAGCCAGACATGCTCTCATTATGGCAACAAGTCTGACTTTTAGGACTTTACCCCCCATTGTAGCAGTGCCGGGAATAAGCCGTCAGGTCCTGCTGCCTTATAAGCCTCATTTACATTCAGCCCCTGCCACTGCTCCTCGCGCAGCTGTCAATACTTCGCTAAATACTTCCGTAGCAGAATCGCGGGAAGTGTGTATTTACACTCTGCCCTACCACTCACATCACTTTCGGCTTTCGACTATGGCAGACGTCGAAATAATTACAGCGTCCGCGCTGTGTCTTCTTGTAATACAAAATTATGTTAATAATTTAAAAAGATATCAAGTTCAGAAGAAGGTAGATAGATAGATAGAAAATTTATTTGCTTAAAAACATGATATGAAATACAGCTAATTACACAAACCCAACGTTACATTTTAAAATTATTGCATTGTTTAAAAGTTAGGTACAAACATTCTTTTTGAATTCAAATATGATGTACAAATACTTATACAGATCCACTCTATTTGAATTCTTATACAGTAAATTACTCATAAATTATTAATTGAATTATTACATTATTGTTACGTAAATAATATTAAATATTATATGAGATTAGTTAAGCTATTATTATTTTAATAATTACACTATAGTATAAATTAATTCGTAATTTTAATTACAATAAAATTATAATTTAAAAATCTCAGGCTATTATGCAAATATTACAATTTAACTTATTTTAATAAATAAATAATCAACATCAGTTACTAATTGTTTTTAGAAATGAAATGTCAATGTTCATTAATTCCTTAAACTAAATTTTATATTAATATAATCATCATCATCATCATCATTACAGCCCTTCACAAGTCCACTGCTGAACATAGGCCTCCCCCAAGTAATGCCACAAAGCACGGTCCTGAGCCACCTGCATCCATCGACTTCCTGCATGTCTTACCAGGTCGTCACTCCATCTAGTGGGGGGTCGCCCTACACTACGCCTACCGGTACGAGGCTGCCACTCGAGAACCTTTCTTCCCCATCGGTTATCGGTTCTTCGAGCTATATGGCCGGCCCATTGCCACTTCAGCTTACTAATCCGTTGGGCTATGTCGGTCACTCTGGTTTTACTGCGGATATCCTCATTTCTGAGTCTATCACGCAGAGAAACTCCGAGCATAGCCCTCTCCATAGCTCGCTGAGCGACCTTAAGCGTCCTCATACGGCCAGCAGTGAAGGACCACGTCTCAGATCCGTAAGTCATCACTGGCAACACGCACTGGTTGTACAATCTAGTTTTTAGAGATTGAGGTATACCTGACGAAAAGATATGCCGTAATTTCCCGAACGCTGCCCAGCCGAGTTGAATCCGTCGATTGACCTCTCGGTCGAAGTTGGACTTACCTAGTCGGACTATTTGTCCCAGGTAAACGTATTCGTCAACAACTTCGAGCATAGTGCTCCCAACAACTACCGGCATAGGTGTGACATGGACATTGAACATGATCTTTGTTTTGTCCATGTTCATCTTAAGACCTATCCGTTGGGAGGCACTATTGAGGTCATTGAGCATAGTGCTTAAGTCCTCCAGCGATTCTGCCATAAGGACTATATCGTCGGCAAATCGAAGGTGAGTGATGTACTCGCCATTGATGTCAATACCGTATCCTTTCCAGTCCAGTAGCTTGAAAACGTCTTCCAATGCAGCGGTGAAGAGTTTCGGGGATATAACGTCACCCTGTCTTACACCTCTCTGCAGTTGGATAGGTTTCGAGCTCTGGTTCTGTACTCGGATAGCCATCGTAGCCCTACTGTACAAACACTTCAGCACTTCGATATACCGACAGTCAACTTGGCACCGCTGAAGGGACTGTAGCACCGCCCAAATTTCGACGGAATCAAAGGCTTTCTCATAGTCCACATACGCCAGGCAAAGTGGCAGATTGTACTCTTCAGTCTTCTGTACAATCTGCCGCAGGGTATGTATGTGGTCTATGGTACTGAAGCCTTTTCGGAAACCGGCTTGTTCGGGAGGCTGGAAGTCGTCAAGTCTGCGTGCGAGACGATTCGTAATGACTCTCGAAAACAGCACGTAGACGCGGCTCAGAAGGGAAATCGGTCTGTAGTTCTTTAAGAGAGCGTTGTCGCCTTTCTTAAAGAACAAGACCACCGCACTTCTGCTCCACGCCTCTGGAGTAGTGCCACCATGGAGGACGGAATTGAAGAGCTTCTGAAGGACTTCAAGTACCGGTGTTCCACCCGCTTTCAGAAGCTCCGCTGTAATTCCATCCTCGCCTGGGGCCCTGCCGTTTTTAAGGTGCTGGAGAGCCATTCTAATCTTGCTTAGACTGACGTCCGGGATATCATCGGAATAGTGTCGGATAAGACTTGCTCTTGGATCGTTACTCACACTTGCGTGTGGCTCCAACGATGATGTGTACAGCTGCCCATAGAACCTCTCAATCTCACTCAAAATCTCAGGTGTCCCGGAAACGATGTTGCCACACTCAGTCTTCAGCCTTGACAGTTGGCTCTTTCTGGCAGACAGATCTCTGGCAAAGACTTTGGAGCCCTGGTTCCGCTCGATCGCTTCTTTAATACGAGAAGTATTAAAGTTGCGTAAGTCTCGCCGTATGCATTTGGAGATCTGTCTGTTCAGTAGCCTGTATGCTGTCAAATCTGTTGACGATTGCAGCCTCATCTCCCGTCTAACAGCCATGAGATTAAGAGTGTGATCGGAGAGTTTTTGTGTTCTTCTGCGGCGGGTCTTGCAGAACTTAGACTTAATAACTTAGAATTAATATAATAAATTTGACGAATTTATAATTAATTATGTACATAGGTACTATATTATCTCAAAAAGAAAATTCGTATACGTAGAAGATGATGAATTGTGGTTTTTATCGTTGAAATCCCATAATAAAGTTTTTTTTGATTCCAGCAGTTCTAAAAACTTTATTGCATTTTCATTATTCCACTCGAAAGGCATTTTGGTAGATCGTACTTATTTAATAACAAGACGGCACGCACGTCCGTTCATCCAGACGCTTGGCGCGAAGTGAGCGACGGAGCAGAATGTGACCACTCACTGCCGCTCGCGCTGCTCCTCCTTCTTCCGCACGAAAAACCGACAATCGAGGGAGCGTCGGGCAGTGGCAGCGACAGCGGCAGTGTCAGCGCGAGTAGCCTGTTTACATACTGCCCTGCCCACTGCCCTGCTCACTGCCCTGCCCAACAGGGCTGAATGTAAATGGGGCATTATGGTTGGAAACTATGAATGGCCCAATGGATTTTGTCCATCGTCACCACTCTTTGTGCTAATTCCCAGTCTTCTTTTGTTGGTGTCGGTGCATCTTCATGCTGGTTCACCCTTTCAACTACACAGCAACCTGGGAAGTGAGTGTCAATTAGGATGTGTTGGGTTTCATCCGGCGATGTTGAGTAGCTTCCGTCGGGTTTCTTTAAAGAGATAGATCCCGGCGTGTTCTGTTTAGCTAGGATTTTCCTTATACGATTTGCTTGTTCACAGGTTTCTATGCTACCACAGAATTTGCGCCACCCTGAGCGTCGATACCTGATACATTTTTCGTATTCAGACTTAGCTTTCTTATATAGAAGCCAGTCTTCATCCTTTGATCCTTAATTATTGTTGATGGTCCGATCTATGCAAAATGAACTGACTATGTCCTGAGGTCTTGCAGTGGTATGCTTGGGTTTAGTTTTAATTTTATTGATTATAGGATCCCCAGCAAGTGGTAGTCCCTTCCCAGCCTCCTTCTCTATTGAAATTGGGATGTTTTTTAATTTCAATAGCCTCACGAAAGAACACCGATTCCTACCAAGGATGATCCTTGGTAGGAATCGGTGTTCTTTCGCGAGGATTTGTGGTCTATCAAATCTGATGTAATGGTTGGGGCCGTCTAGGATATGATCGCAAACTGCAGACTTCTCGGAACGTTGATGCTTCACATCAGTTATATGACGTTATAATTAAAAAAAAAAACCCTGGTCAAGCCGACCCATTCGTACTATAACCATAATATAGCTACAGCGTGGCTCTACCAATGACTAATTGAGAAACACTACTATAAGAATTTCTCTCATCTTCTCCATCCTTCGTCTTGATTAGTCATAATGTAAGATAATCCATCTCCCCATTTCGTCCTGTGGGACACCCATATTACAGGTAAGAGGTCTCTATGGGAAATACAAGTAAAATCTACTTGTACAACAAATACTTGGCTTCCAGTGGCTTCTAGATCCCATTTCAGCTCTCTCATCTCATTTACACCAGACGTGTTTACAATCCTCTTAACATATTTTCCAGACCGATACGACTTAGGGACCTTCAAAAAAGAGCTTACTCTCTTTTTAAAAGGCCAACAACGCACCTGCAATTCCCCTGGTTTTGCAGTTTTTATGGGCGGCGGTAGTCACCATCAGGTGAGCTGCATGCTCGTTTGCCCCCTCGTCTATTAAAAAAAACCATGAGAAACCCATCGCCAGGAATAACTTTTTACAGGTCGATAAAAATAAAAAAACGACGGGTTGCACTCCGAGAGTGCCGGCAGAAGAGAAAACTTGAATATTAACGTTGTGCACATTTTGTTTTGTGCATTTTTTGGAATGGTTAGAGAATAATTTTACACGAATTGCTTTAATTTATCAGTATAAAAGTACTATCATTTATGTGGTAGAATACAATGTATATTTATTGACATTCGCGCAAGCACCCTACGCCGTCTAAACGAAACAGCAGGCGCAGGCATACATTTTCGCCGCGCCGTAGAAAGAGAGGGGGATACTTCCTATCCTACGCCGCGCCGGCTGTCTACTCTCCATCCGTTTTACCAATTTTCGATCAGGTCACGTGTCCTGACGCGAGTTTAACATTTTTTACCCATTACAAAAAAGTGTACAACGCCGCCAAAGAAGTTTTCCTCTTACCAATTTTCGATCAGGTCACGTGTCTTGACGCGAGTTTAACATTTTTTACCCATTACAAAAAAGTGTACAACGTCGCTAAAGAAGTTTTCCTCTTACGAAATTTCGATCAGGTCACGTGTCCGGACGCGAGTTTAACATTTTTTACCCATTACAAAAAAGTGTACAACGCCTATAAAGAAGTTTTCACTACAAAAATAAAGAAATAGTTACTTACATTTGAATGTCGTAACATATGAAGCATATATATGTCTTCCTCGAGGAAGCCTTTGAAGCATTCGGTACATTTAAAGTGGGAGTATTTATAGTTGTCACTCTCTTTCCTTTTCTGAATTTCTCTGATTTGCTCACCGTAAGACAAATCAATGACAGTAAACATTGCCGGGTCCAGCACTGTAGCCTTTGATCTCCTTTTTGTAATTACGTTAGTCCCATTCATGTTTTCCTTTTGCATTTTATTTCTGGCATGCAGTTTTGCATTTTTTATTTCTCTACCTTTAGTATCAGTAGAAACATATTCTAAAACAGTTTCATTGATATCCAATCCATCATCTGTCATAGATTCAAGTGAATCAATTTCGGACTGTCCAAGATTTGTCAATTCATCAGTTTCTATTGGTATCTCTACATGTTCTACTGGACGTATAGAAACAGTTTCTTTCATATCCGTTTCAGAATCAGTTAGATATTCAGGTGGATTTGTATCAAATTCATTAATAATTTCTTCATTTGCTCCAGTTTCTATTGATGTCTCCATGTATCTTATTGTGTCAATAGAACCATTGTTTTGATCTAAATCACTTTCCTTCATATCTATTTCGTAATCAATTAGATATTCAGGTGAATAATATTCAGACTGTCTAGAATTTGGATGTTCGTTTGATTCACAGTAAATTTCTTCTTTTGTTTCAGTTTTTGTTGGTGTCTCTATAAGTTGTGTTGGATCTTTAGAATCGTCTTCGTTTAGATCTGTATCACTTTCTCTCATATCCAATTCATACTCCTCTAGATATTCCGGTGAATATGTTTCGGATTGTTCAAAATTTGCTTGTTCATTTGAGTCATCGATGATTCCTTCCTTTACATCAGTTTTTGTTAGTGTTTCTGTACATTTTAACGAATTTGTTTGGATATCTGTTTCAGTTTGTATGTTCGTATCTTCTAATTGACTGACTTCGAGCATGTTTATGTCGCAGTTATTTGGCGGATGTATTGACTGTATAAGATTTGATTTAACTTTTTGCGTATCGATCGATTTAAGCTTTTTGAAGCTTAACTGTAACATAAGATTAATAGGCAATAGGTTATAAGGTAAAGTAGTAAAGTTACAGCCTATATACGTCCCACTGCTGGGCATAGGCCTTCCCTCACTTCCGAGAGGGTTTTAAAGCAAAAAGTGAAAGTTGAAGTTGAAGTGTCCGCTGCGGTGCTCCAATGTGTGTTGGCGAATTTCATATATCTTCGAAATATACAACACGTAACATAATTAACGCACTTTGAGAAAGTAGTTTGTTCAGAATCGTTTACTGAATCGATTCTTATCATTTTTAATATAGGTAAGTTTTTATCCCAAAAACAATTAAAACTACGTAAATTACAGTCACACTAAATCTGTACAGTCAAAACAAACTGAAATGGACCGTAACTTAAGGCAATAAGACTTTTAAGAGTGCAGTCTTATTTGTATTATTACTAATTCTGTCATTCAATAAAAATAAAGAAAAATGGACTTTATTTCAAGCACATTAAAGTCTTTGCTTTTGTGGATTTGTACTGTGACCACAACATTCTCCCGGAATAACTAATTTGATAAATAATCAGTGCATAAAAATGTTTAACTAAAATTCAGTGTATGTATTATGATTATAACATAATATACTAATTGGGGTGTCTGAGGGTGTGCGTTAATTACGTTACATATTGCATATTTTTCAATAAAAAAATATGCAATATGTATGGTTAATGTGTGGTTTCCCCACGATGTTTAACCTACACCGCCGAGCACGTGGTAAATCAGCACTTAAAATTATTATTTAATTAGTGCCGGTAGGGATCGAACCCAGTTTGCTCGCGTACTGTGATATTTACAGCGACCACTATCTGAGCTACCACGGCAATCAGGTAATAACCGACGCCATTCTGGTGATTCGTTATATCAAATATGGTGGAATATGGCGTCAATTAATGACGTCATTTGCATTCGCCAGTATACTGGAAACATTTCGGAACATACCCTAGGTATCATAAACAAACTTTCAGAGATTCTCAACCTTTTAATAAGGGTGTTTTTTTTAAATAAACTTATAGTATACCTGATGATAAGAGGCTACTAACTTCGGGTTTTAGAAAAAAAAAGAGATATATGTGTCCTAAACATCTCATTTTTTTATTGATGTTTATATAAGTTTGCGTTAAAAACCATATCATTGACGGTAGTAATGACAAAAGTGTGAGACATGGTATTGCAATTGTATATTCAAAGTAGTCAGTGTCGTGTTTTTTTAATATAGAATAAGCGTTGACAAACGAGCACACAGTCCACCTGATGGTAAGTGAATGCTGTGGCCCATAGACATCTACATTTATCCTCCATTAAGAATCAAAATAGATGCGTTGTCATGTCACCCCTGAAGACTATGATGGAATGCCTCGTTTCCAGTAAAAAAGGGTCTACAGATCTCTACACTCAACATACGTAACACAGCAGTATTAAGCTGCTATTTTACGCAGGTGTTATGTTAGACCATGGTCTTTCACCGGACGGGCTGACACATTCGTGCTACAACCATAATATAGCTGTGTGGCTCTACCACGTACAAATAAGTAAAAGAGTGTGGCTATGACACGACAAAACCTCCCTTTTATAAAAACAGGAAAGTATAGACGAGTATTTAAGATGAAGTCTTGGTCGCTGCAAGCTACACAAAACTTACATAGCATCCATCCCCGATCAGCTTCCTCAGCATCAGATCTGCATGCTTCGCGCGATCCAAGAATTTTCGACACGACACAAGTCTATGCCTGCATTCCCAACACAGCATTTTGGGAAGTCCGTCAGTTAGGTTAACCTGTAAAAAAAATTAGAGTTTAAAATACTAAAACATTAGGCATTGATCATGAGTTATGATCCTGGTGTGAATAGTACCTACTATTCATACAAAAAAAAACAAGCCATGGTAGCTCAGATAGTTAACGCTCGCCGTAAATATAACAGAACGCGAGTAACCCGGGTTCGTTCCCCGCCGGCACCAATAAAATTGTAAATTGGAGTTTTAAGTGCTGATTTACCACGTGCTCGGCGGCGAAGGAAAACATCGTGAGGAAACATGCATATCTGAGGAATAAGTAAAAAAATATTTCGAAGACATGTGAAGTTCGCCAACACGCATTGGGGCAGCGCGTCAGACACTTCCTTGCCCAAAAACCCTCTCAGAAATGAGGGGAGGACGTACGAGTATATAGTCTGTAACTTTACTTTACGAAAAAACAAACGAAAATATATAACTGTACCTTTAAACCTGTGCAATTTTCATAAACTGTTCTGAGACTGCTCCTATACAGGGTGTACATTATTCTGTCAGTTGCCAAGCAAATTCGGCACACCTGGAACACAATAAATAAATTAAACGTTATGTAAGTACATATTTATTTTCACCAAACAACATTGCGTGCACGGCTAAGTTCAAACTCAAACATTTTATTGCATTCATGTGGTTATATAAATAGTTCTTATGTTGGATATAATAGAGCCAAACATGAGCCCTGATAGGGCGTAGCAATATTATACATCAATTTAATTTAATTAATTTAGAAAGATGAATTACTTATTTTATTTACTTAAAGTAAACATTACTTTTTGGTTTAATAAACATTTGCAATATTTACAACGATATTAAAACGCATACATATTCAATTAAACAATTATTATTTTTCACCGAAAGACTCTGACAACAAATAGAAACTTTTTTCAATTAAATATTTTTTTAAGCTCTCTTCGAAATTTATTTAACGATCCTTCTTTTTTTTTAGACATTTGGGGATTTCATTATAAATTTTTACACACATACCATAGGGTGCTGATTTGGCTGTTTGTAATTTTATGATAGGTGAAGCTAATTTATTGTTAGGACGTAAAAAATGACGCCAGGAGTATATTGAAAAAAGGCGCATATTCTTTTTAACAAATGTGCATACTTCTAGTATTATAAAGATGTAAGTGTTAATATTTTTAATGAGTTGATGTAGGGTTTACAGCTCTGAGTTTTATCAATATTTGTAATTATGAGGATAACTCTTTTGTAGAAGTTCTAGTCCGAAAGGTATTGGGAGCCAGTATAATAATAAGGCTGTGAGGTTCCTTCTTAGTCCTCAAAGGTGACGAGACATCTGTAGCCACTTACCATAAGATGGACTGTATTTTCGTTTATCATTTCAGTTTTAAGCATTCTGGGTAAAATTATTTTATAGTCATTTGAACCAAAGGTCTGCTCATGTGAACTATTAAAGAAAACGACGAAAAAAGGACTTCGGTGTAGAAATGAACCTCAAGTTATTTTGATCACTTAAGAGTCTTATGAACTTGAATGACCGTCGTCATCTACTGTCCGCTGGGTTGAGCTGTCGTCAAAATCTCCCAAAAAAGTGCATATTGTGAAGTTAAATTCTATAAAAACGAAGATCCCGAATGAAATGACGACATGGCTTAAAGGACAAGCATTCAAGCCAAAAATCTTAATACTAAATAAAATGGCTAATAAAAATAATAATGTCATCTTTTTTTTAAAGACGTTACCCCCTCACTTGGATTTTTTCTTGTATCGTAAAGGCAGTTTACTAACATAAATTTCGCCAGGACAAACAGCCGGACCCAGAACAATTATTTGTATACAATAATTTTCGTAATTCAGACCCGCGGCCTTTAGTGCCGCAACCCATTTGAAAGAAAGAAGAAAGAAAGAAAGAAGAATGAAAGAAAGAGATATTTATTTGGCCATTTCTTAACAAATTAGCACTAAATACTCAAAACAAACATTATGTTTAGGTAGTCTTATAAGTAGACTTAATTACACACTTACAAGGAAACATAAATCATTTTGACTAAGCAGCCGGGCTAGCATGGGCGGGGGACAATATATTCCCGGGGAGAGGATACAATTTTTATCCCTTGCTTAATTTTATCCACCCAGCGAGCATGGGCAAGAGACAAAAATTATATCCCCCGATTATATCCACTGACAAGAGATAAAATTATCTTATCTCTATAGTATATCCCCGTTTGATATAACGAGTAGACATATATCTCCCCGTCGGTAGCATGAGGCCAAGGGAAAGAGAAAAAAATTATCCCTTTTTGACATTTGAAAGGGACAATTTTATCCTCTTTCGCGGACGTGGGTTTAAGTTTATCTTCAAACCATTTTAATACGAAAAAGATGTCTCGAGCCTATTGCAACTACATTTTCGTGTCAGAAATTGAAAAACAAGAAAGAAAATTACACCAGCGATCGATACGTGATCAGAATACTTAATCTATTGGAATTCACCGACAACGAATTTCTACGCCGGTTTCGGATGCTAAAAGATTGTTTTGTATTTGTGTAAAGAACTCTATGAGGCTTTAAAGCCTATTAATTCTGTGGATGGACTACCAGTGCACATTGATCTAAATAAGCATCTATTACAACCACCTTGTCCAAAAACATCGTACATTTGCAATCAATACATGTGGCTTATGTAACTTATCTTAATATTTTTTCTAGGTAGGTAGTTTACATCTTTCAGTCTCTTGGCAGATAGTAGTTACCTACTAGAGGTACGATTCAAGACCATGGCATGGCTGTTGTTCAAACAACAAATAATCAGCAAATACTTGACCTAAATTATTGGGGCCATCATTAGAATGTGTGGAGCAATATAGGTACTGTAATTAGCCTCTTGTGTAGGTAAAAACAAGTTTAAAGACTAATATTCATAATATTAGGAATACAAATAACACAATACTCATGATTATAAAATTATTTATTCCTTGTTTTGTTTGAAATTCGTCATTTTCAATTAAAATTAAATCTTTGTGACTTAGAGTAGACATCAATTTTGATGTATTTTGTAATTTTCTTATAATGGCAGTAATTGCGGGGATAATTTTTTTTTAATTTCCTCAAGAGGTTACACCACCTCCAAAGGGTCTGTATTGTCCAGTTTCGCAATTGGCTTAATTCTAGACACATATTTTTTTAATAAATGCTATCACAAGCGAAGTAATACTTGCGATTTGATACAAGCAATGTATACTTAACTTAAATATTATACAAAAGAAAATAAAGAAAGAATTAGAATAATAGAAAAAATAAAAACAAGGCAGAAATACGCTTAAAATAAATATAACAAATATTATAAATGACATATTGTTTAACAAAAATTATTAACAGTTTAGCAATATAATAAAGAAAAGGTAAAAGAAAATATAAGTTAATGTAAATCTACTTAATCTTAAAAGAAGTTTATAGCTAGTATAGTTTATAGCTTTATACTATCGTATAAAGATGTTTTATAAAACATCTTTGCTGTCGTATATTATCTATGTGCGGGGATAAGTTTATCTACTGTCGATATTATATCCACCATAGGCCCATGCTCGCAGGGTGGATAAAGCTTTGACATAGGGATAAGACAATTTTCTCCCTTGTCAGTGGATATAATCGGTGGATAAAATTTTTATCCCCCGCTCATGCTAGCCCGGCAGATAGATACAAAATACATTAAAAAAGTGAACATCTAACTTAAAAAATATCTTTTTTTTAATGGGAAATTGTCCAAATAGGACTGCCACTCAGGAAACGCTAAGATGTGTCATCGTAGCCCTGATTTTCAGTGGCTACCTTAAGTACATTATATAGATACACACACATATAATATATATACATATACATAGATATATACACATACATACATATATATACATATGCATAACACACATACACATACACACACGGGCACATATAATATATACTTATTTGGATTAATAATACAAATATGTACACGATTGGTACGTTTTTAACATTCTTTTTATATTTACTTTTGGGCCACAATTGGTCGTTTTTAACATTCTTTTTATATTTACTTTTGGGCCACAACTGCCTTATATTTGTAGTGCTATACCGGATATTTATGAACGTTAATTTCATTGCATAACTGGAACCGAGGATATAAAAATAATTTTAATTTCATATAAAAACACTTATACACAATAACAACCCGAGAGATATGTTCAACATAACATGCTGCCGCATCCATTTAGCATGTTTTATCACAGAACCTGGGATCTATCTACACTACGCGCGCAATGAAAAGAGAATAGTGTAATTAGATTGAACACCCGTGACGTATGAAGGAAAAAAAAAATGATAATTATACGCACTGGAACATACGCTAATATATAATAGATGTACACGCTAAAGCATAAAAACATTAAATTTGCAATTTTGCAAGGCACTGCGCTACGGTGACGCTATCCAGACCAAATTGGGGCATAGTGATCAGTCTCGACGGAGACTAGCCATCGGCATGGAACAGGATTGCACAGATACATTGTCACTTGTAATAAATTAAAATGGAATGCCTCACAACGTATACTGGCTCTCTATATAGGGTCATTTTGCAATACACTATTGTTCATAAAAGATAGCTTGATCTCTGCGACAGCTGTCAGTAAAAATCACGCCTATGAAGTCCTGAATTTCTTAGTAGTACAGACAGTAGGTACCTGTCAATTTCATACTTAATGGGAATGCACTAATTAGGTCGGCATGCCCATAAAGTACGACATTGACAGGTACTGTCTGTGTCTGTACTACTAATAAATTCAGGACTTCAGAGTCGTGATTTTACTGACAGCTGTCGCAGAGATAAAGTTATCTTTTATGAACTATAGTGTATTGCAAAATGACCCTATATAGAGAGCCAGTATACGTTGTGAGGCATTCCATTTTAATTTATTACAAGTGACAATGTGTCTGTGCAATCCTGTTCCATGCAGATGGCTAGTCTCCGTCGAGACTGATTACTATGCCCCAATTAGGTCTCGACGGCGTCACCGTGGCGCAGTGGCTTGCAAAATTGCAAATTTAATGTTTACTAAGAAATTCAAGACTGCTCATAGGCGTGATTTTACTGACAGCTGTCGCAGAGATAAAGTTATCTTTTATGAACTATATTATCATCGATCACTAATAAAAAACTAGATACACAATCAGATTGTTGTACAGAACTTTTGCATGGGATTGTATATCTAGTTTTTTATTAGTGATCGATGACCAGTGGCGAAGCTAGAGCTCCAAGCTAGGGCAAGCCCAAGATATAAATTGATAAAAATATAGATTGTCGTTTTTAGCAGTTTTATAAAAATACACCAATCTTGATCTGTCTCCACTCTTCAGTTTTATATTCAGTGCTGCCAAGGACGTGTTTAACAAGGCACACAAAAAGCATACTACTGCTTGATAGATTGTATGACATATCAGCAATTGCATAGCTTTAGTGGTTTTGAAGAAAGCCGTTTGGGTTTGTTTGAGCGAAAGAAAAAGATATTTACGTACAATACAATACATAAACAAAAGTAAAACATGTACAAAGTACAAACAAACTATGTACAAAATAAAAAAAAAATATTTACATTCTAAATGGAATGGTCTCTCTCTTAACGAAAGATTTAATTACGTCCACGTAAAATATTGGTGAACGTTTTAATTGTACTAATAACTGTTTTTTACTTGCAATAATTGATAAGTCTGAAATACACTCTTGACTTTGTGTATTATCTGAAATAAGTTTAAAGATTTTACCTTTTCCTCTCCGATTATCACTTTAACACACTTCAATTCATCACATGGAACACTATTATCCTCCATTTTCACTAAAAATCTTTAAAAAAGCATAAATTTTCAACTCGCAATATATAGCTTAAGGTAAACACACAGAGTAAATAAATATTGAAATGTGAAATGAACTTGCAAAGGTATTGCCCGCGCGCCTCAACCAACAACTAAACACAACTTCATTCCTAAAGCCTGGCTTTAAATCTCTATACTAATTGCTATATATACAATCGTAGTTATATTTCACTATAGAATATTTTGCCATAGGTTAGAAAGAGAGCGATCGTCTTCTCGAAAGCCCTGTAAAAAGCCCAGGCGAGCGAGAGAGACCACTAATTGCTCTATTAAAACTCATTTTTATGACAGCAGCAGTATCGCTAGGCAATACGATACGCGTTCGGCGGTCGACCTGTGTCAAACAGTGTGCCCGGGCAATTTGAAATAGTTTGAAACAGTTTACGAGTTATTTTATTAGTTGATATTATTGATTGATTCAGTTTGATAAACCAAGCCCGGCTTTTCAGGTTTTATGGAAGCTTCGCCACCGTCGATGACTATTATACGATATACTTTGTAATATGTCTTTTATTAATAGATGTAAGGGCGTCAAACACCTCTTAGTTATGCTTTCTGTACGATAGGTAAATACTAAAATTATATATGAATTTTTTTAAATCGTTTTTTCTTTCTGGCCAAAATATTGTCTCCCTTGCCCGCAATTGACATTTTTGCAACCCTACATGACCAACGTGTATCTGTTTAGCAAATTTTTTTTTAAGAGTTATACACCACTATCCTTTTGATCCTTCCATACCTTACGCGATCGATAAAAATAACCCAAATATGGCTTTACTAAATCTATTACACAGTCCGCCTAATGGTAAGTGGATTTACTACGCCTCAGGACTAAGATGCAATACTACTTCATCATCATTATTGTCAAGTGTCAAGGCCATTGCTCAACACAGGCCTACACTATAAATAGGGGGGATATTTGCCACAGTTGCCACCTGTAGCAGCCGGGTTTTCAACCACAGGTTGTTTTAAAATATTATATGATGTTATTTTTTTATATAGGATAAGGGTGACAAACTAGCACACAGTCCACTTGTGTGGTTATTGTGACCCAAACATCTGTCCTTGATTACAAATTAAAATGCAGATGGGTTGTCACCCGTGAGGACTAAGATGTAATGCCTCCTTTCTAGTAAAAAAAAGGTCTCCGGTTCTCTACGTTCAACATACAAAACACAGCAGCATTAAGCTGCTATTTTACGTAGGTATTCAGTGAATGAGTGGTCGTTTCCAGGTTGAGTTGACCCATTTGCGCTACAACTATACTATAACTATGCAATGATGATAATAAGAGCCGTGGTAACTCAGATGATTAGCTCTCGCTATAAATTTTACAGTACGCGAACAACCCGGGTTTCATCCCTTAAGGCACCAACGAAACTGTTAATTACAATTTTAAGTGCTGATTTACTACATGCTCAACGGTGAAGAAAAACATTGTGAGGAAACCGGCATGTCTGAGAAATAAGAAAATAATTATTTCAAAGACATGTGAAGTCACTTCCTTGCCCTAAAACCCTCTCAGAAATGACAGGAGGCCTGCACTCAGCAGTGGGAATGTATATAGGCTGTAACTTTTTAACTTTTAATAATAATAATAATAATAATGAAATTCATTATTATTATTAAAAGTAATGTATGCAAGGCACGTGGTAGAGCCACGCTGCAGCTATATTATGGTTGTAGCATGAATTGGTCGGCTCGACGAAGAACCACGCTCTCACAGACTTTTTAATTGTCAGACAGTAGGGACCGTGTTGACTTTTACTTACAAATCATTCAACTAATATTGAAGTCCAATCTACATATTTTAAGGCACTTAAATTTCGATAAGAAGGTTACTCTACGAAAGGTTAGCTCAGAGAACCTTCAGCATTTTAATTAAAAAGTTGAAGGTAAGTTAAAAAATTCAAAAAATTTAAATTAAAAAAGGTACCTTGTAAAGGTGATTAGTAATCACCTTTACAAGGTACCTTTAATATTGGGACGACAAACAGTCCCGATATGACAATAGGTGCTGCAATACACTTGAAGCATTGGTAATTAAAAATTTATAAAAATTAAACAAAATAATATCCATTAACCTAGTTTAATTCAATGACAAATTTTCTGGGTGGCGGGACTTGGTTTTACCTAAGAGCCCTTGTATTTGTGTGCACTATTCACCTATTCACCATATCATCAAAAAGGTGAACAGTGTATGCAATTAGGGGGGGGAGGAGGTTTGTACGTGGTAGAGTCATGCTGCAGTTATATTAGTAGTATAGTTGTAGCATAAATGGGTCGGCTCGACCGGGGAAAGACCACACTCTCACAGAATACCAGCATAAAATAGCAACTTAATGCTGCTGTATTTCGTATGGTGAGTGTAGAGAACCGGAGACCCTTTTTACTGGAAACGAGGCATTCCATCTTGGTCCTTACGGGTGACAGAATACCAGCATAAAATAGCCAGCTTAATGCTGCTGTGTTTCGTATGATGAGTGTAGAGAACTGGATTTCGAGAACCGGAAGACGAGAACGTTTTTTTACTGGAATCGAGGCATTCCATCTTAATCCTCAGGGGTGACAACGAATCTGCATTGAAATTGGACAGGTGGACTGTGTTCTCGTTTGTCACCCTTATTCTATAAAAAAAAATATTCACGAAAAGATATACAAATAATTTCCCCAAACTAGGATAATCCTGTACTTTGGGGTTGGAATATTACAGATAATAAATGCAAGTGTGGTCCTCACTGGTCAAGCCGACTCATTCATGCTGCAGTATTATACTGCAAACTTGCTTTACCACATTTATAGATTTAAGTTCGTAAACGTCATGTATTTATACAGATAGTCATAGAAGTCATGTATTTATACAAAAAATTTATAATTAGACGTCAAAATATCATAAGTCCTTGTTTAAAAAGTAATAAAAATATTTCATGTATACTTACATTAATTACTTTCTCTTGTGGCGTCGAATTTTTTGGAGAGTTATACTTCCTGGCATCATTACCCTGCTCCATATTGGATGTCACCTTAAATAACAAATATGAATAATTAAATTAAATCAATAATACTATTAAACACAGCTCTTGTCATTTTTTATTCCGAGTGTTGTTACTTTTATAATTGTCAGACAGTAGGGACAATGTTGACTTTTATTTACAAGTCATTCAACTCATATTGAAGTCCAATCTACATATTTAAAGGCACTTAAATTTCGATATAAAAAGCAGTTATTGTATATAATGTACGAAGTAGAATTAAAACTTTAGAAAATATAAGAAAACCACCAAAAACATGAAATATTTTGATGAATTCTTATATTTTTGCATACACTACACATTGAATAATAAAAATTTTAAGAATATTAACATGTTTAGTTTTACTTAATTTTTATTCTCAACACTTCAGTAAGTAAGGTTAGCTCAGAGAACCTTCAGCATTTTAATTAAAAAGTTGAAGGTAAGTTAAAAAATTCAAAATATTTAAATTAAAAAAGGTACCTTGTAAAGGTGATTAGTAATCACCTTTACAAGGTACCTTTAATATTGGGACGACAAACAGTCCCGATAATACAATAGGTGCTGCAATACACTTGAAGCATCGGTAATTAAAAATTTATAAAAATTAAACAAAATATTATCCATTAACCTAGTTTAATTCAATGACAAATTTTCTGGGTGGTGGGACTTGTTTTTACCTAAGAGCCCTTGTATTTGTGTGCACTATTCATCTATTCACCATATCACCAAAAAGGTGAACAGTGTATGCAATTAGGGGGGGGGAGGGAGGTTTGTACGTGGTAGAGTCATGCTGCAGTTATATTAGTAGTATAGTTGTAGCATGAATGGGTCGGCTCGACCGGGGAAAGACCACACTCTCACAGAATACCAGCGTAAAATAGCAGCTTAATGCTGCTGTGTTTCGTATGGTGAGTGTAGAGAACCGGAGACCCTTTATACTGGAAACGAGGCATTCCATCTTGGCCCTTACGGGTGACTTCGCATCTGCATTTTGATTCGTAATCGAGGATAGATGTAGATGTCCATGGGCCACAGCAACCACTTACCATCAGGTGGACTGTGTGCTCGTTTGTCACCCTATCCTATAAAAAAGGTGCTTAGACTAGTACTAAGTTCTACACAGATCATTTGCTTAGATCCAATTTTTAACATCTTTTTTTTTAAGTTACTATACATCTTTATTTTAGAAACAGGTGAATTTGTTGGTAAATAATGACTTTTATAAAAAATTTAAGGATAAAATGTATGCTACCAATTTCCCAACTTGAACTACAGTGGAGCCTCAGTAATCTGGACACCACACCCAATCCGGAGATTGCAGTGGTCCAGACAGGGCGGTCATAGCTTCTTCAGTATGAAATTAGAAAAACTCAAGTTCATGAGGTACTTTTTTAATGAGGCATTTTCCAAATATGTAGAACAAACAATTAGATGTTATGTTGATTTTTGTACATACACAAATAAACACATGTCACCCAGAGGGGTAGGCAGAGACTACAAACTTTAATTTGACACAATCCGAACACGCCACTGTCGCTTTTTAGTGATTTTTGTGCATGTTGATAAAATATATTGTTTTTTACATACACATATGTGTAAATTGTTAAAAGATTATACTTTAAATTAGGTCTTTCATTTAGATTAATAAGGTTTAGGTAAATAAGGAAGTCCCTCTCACAATGTCGTTAATCTGGACTCCCATGTGTTTTTAGGGATGTTCTAGCTTTTAGTTCTTTTTAAATGTCAGTAAAATATACATCGAACTACCCGAATCAATAATAAACAGAAACTAATGATAAAAACAATTCAGAAAATTGCTAACTATTAAATTTAGTTATCATCATCATCACTATCATTACAACCCTTCACAAGTCTACTGCTGAACATATACCTCCCCCAAGAAATGCCACAAAGCATGGTTCTGAGCCACCTGCATTAGACATGTGTCAATCGTAAATGATTTGCTTATTTTACCCAGGTCATACAACGTAATAAAGTATTGATGAGTGCAATTACATTTTTTGAACATTCCGGATCAAACAATTGACAGAATCTATGACCAAAGAGTATATAATGGCCGACGAGCCGACGATGGATATTATCTAGCAGGTCTTAAAGATCAAAAAGTACTGAAACTCAAAATGATCCACCCTACTGATCCGGAACTAATCAATACTTGAATAATTGGTTTACTAATAATGAATGAATAACACATGTGTAACCTGCATGCATTGACTTCCAATTTGTCTTACGAGGTCAATAATAAGAACGTTATTATATTATCATTGAATCCTAAAATGATAAATTATGATAAAATTATTAAATAAACATCATTAATAAATTAAAATTTTCCATAATTGTTTATTTTTGCTAGTTATTAAATATTAATTATATCAATTTGTAATGCCGTGTAGTGGCGGTTGAGAATATCCACTACCCCATATCTTCCCGTGGGTGTCGTAAGAGGCGACAGAGGGAGACAGGCAGGAGATGGGCAGCAGCATCTTCCTGATAACAACTGTGACGTAATAAAAAACTGCGGTTGCCAACCCGCTCGCCAAGCGTGGCAACTATGGCAAATACCCCCCAATGAATAAATACACAAACAGACGGCCCCCAGTCCCCGGCGGCCCCGCTATTCCTGGCTACGGTGGCGACCATGGTAACGGCGGGGCAGGGGGTGCTAAGAATCTCCGGTGGAGGTTCGGTTGCCACCTACGACGACTCGACCTGGCAACATATAACGCACGCACCCTGAGGACTGACGAGAAGATACTAGAGCTGGAAGAAGAGGTAGACAAGTTGCGCTGGCATATTATTGGAGTATCCGAGGTCCGAAGAGAGGGGGAGGACACGGCAATCCTCGAGTCCGGCAACTTGTTCTATCACCGGGAGGGCGACCATCTGTCCCAAGGAGGTGTCGGATTTATCGTCCACAAGTCTCTCGTCAACAACGTTGTAAAGATTGGGAGTGTGTCGACGAGGGTCGCGTACCTGATACTCAGAATCACCAAACGGTATTCGCTGAAGGTCATTCAGGTTTACGCACCAACCTCGGCACATCCCGATGAGGAGGTGGAGGAAATGTATGAGGATATTTCCAGAGCCATACATTCCTCCAAAACCCACTACACGGTGTTGATGGGAGACTTCAACGCAAAACTAGGCACAAGAGAAAGCGGTGAGCTGAAGGTAGGGAAATTTGGAGTAGGGCAACGGAACCGAAGGGGCCAGCAGCTGGCCGACTTTATGGAGAAAGAGGGACTCTTTATGATGAACTCTTTCTTCCAGAAGCGGCCCCACAGGAAGTGGACCTGGTCGAGCCCCGACGGTTCGACAAAAAATGAGATTGACTTCATTATGACGACCAGACGCCAACTGTTCAGTGATGTCTCAGTGATCGCAAGGGTGAAAACTGGCAGCGAATCACCGAATGGTTAGAGGCACACTGAACCTAAACGTTAAGTTGGAGAGGTCTCGTCTAATGAAGTCAACGCTCCGTCCCCCCTCGTGCTCTAATCCAGAATCCCGAAACCTTTCAGCTCGAGTTACGTAACCGCTTCCAGTGCCTAGAAGATTGCAATGCAGTGGACGATATGAACGACAAGCTCGTGGAAACTGTCCATGCGGTCGGAGCTAAGTTCTGCAAGACCCGCCGCAGAAGAACACAAAAACTCTCCGATCACACTCTTAATCTCATGGCTGTTAGACGGGAGATGAGGCTGCAATCGTCAACAGATTTGACAGCATACAGGCAACTGAACAGACAGATCTCCAAATGCATGCGGCGAGACTTACGCAACTTTAATACTTCTCGTATTAAAGAAGCGATCGAGCGGAACCAGGGCTCCAAAGTCTTTGCCAGAGATCTGTCTGCCAGAAAGAGCCAACTGTTAAAGCTGAAGACTGAGTGTGGCAACATCGTTTCCGGGACACCTGAGATTTTGAGTGAGATTGAGAGGTTCTATGGGCAGCTGTACACATCATCGTTGGAGCCACACGCAAGTGTGAGTAACGATCCAAGAGCAAGTCTTATCCGACACTATTCCGATGATATCCCGGACGTCAGTCTGAGCGAGATTAGAATGGCTCTCCACCACCTTAAAAACGGCAAGGCCCCGGGCGAGGATGGAATTACAGCGGAGCTTCTGAAAGCGGGTGGAAAACCGGTACTTGAAGTCCTTCGGAAGCTCTTCAATTCCGTCCTCCATGGTGGCACTACTCCGGAGGCGTGGAGCAGAAGCGCGGTGGTTTTGTTCTTTAAGAAAGGCGACAACGCTCTCTTGAAGAACTACAGACCGATTTCCCTTCTGAGCCGCGTCTACATGCTATTTTCGAGAGTCATTACGAATCGTCTCGCACGCAGACTCGACGACTTCCAGCCTCCCGAACAAGCCGGTTTCCGAAAAGGCTTCAGTACCATAGACCACATACATACCCTGCGGCAGATTGTACAGAAGACCGAAGAGTACAATCTGCCACTTTGCCTGGCATATGTGGACTATGAGAAAGCCTTTGATTCCGTCGAAATTTGGGCAGTGCTACAGTCCCTTCAGCGGTGCCAAGTTGACTGTCGGTACATCGAAGTGCTGAAGTGTTTGTACAGTAGGGCTACGATGGCTATCCGAGTACAGAACCAGAGTTCGAAACCTATCCAACTGCAGAGAGGTGTAAGACAGGGTGACGTTATATCCCCGAAACTCTTCACCGCTGCGTTGGAAGACGTTTTCAAGCTACTGGACTGGAAAGGATACGGTATTAAAATCAATGGCGAGTACATCACTCACCTTCGATTTTGCCGACGATATAGTCATTATGGCAGAATCGCCGGAGGACTTAAGCATTATGCTCAATGACCTCAATAGTGCCTCCCAACGGATAGGTCTTAAGATGAACATGGACAAAACAAAGATCATGTTTAATGTCCATGTCACACCTATGCCAGTAGTTGTTGGGAGCACTATGCTCGAAGTTGTTGACGAGTACGTTTACCTGGGACAAATAGTCCGACTAGGTAAGTCCAACTTCGACCGAGAGGTCAATCGACGGATTCAACTCGGCTGGGCAGCGTTCGGGAAATTACGACATATCTTTTCGTCAGGTATACCTCAATCTCTAAAAACTAGATTGTACAAACAGTGCGTGTTGCCAGTGATGACGTACGGATCTGAGACGTGGTCCTTCACTGCTGGCCGTATGAGGACGCTTAAGGTCGCTCAGCGAGCTATGGAGAGGGCTAAGACTCAGAAATGAGGATATCCGCAGTAAAACCAGAGTGATCGACATAGCCCAACGGATTAGTAAGCTGAAGTGGCAATGGGCCGGCCATATAGCTCGAAGAACCGATAACCGATGGGGAAGAAAGGTTCTCGAGTGGCAGCCTCGTACCGGTAGGCGTAGTGTAGGGCGACCCCCCACTAGATGGAGTGACGACCTGGTAAGACATGCAGGAAGTCGATGGATGCAGGTGGCTCAGGACCGTGCTTTGTGGCATTACTTGGGGGAGGCCTATGTTCAGCAGTGGACTTGTGAAGGGCTGTAATGATGATGATGATGATCAATTTGTAAATAAATATAAGAATAATATTAAAACAAGTGATCTTTCTCTCTCTTCAATGGACAGGATCCATAATGAACTCAAATTATTTAACATATCTTTTAGCATATTATACATCTGTAATGAAAATATCGGCAGAATTTTAAGAGTAACAGAACTAGTCCAACAGATCAGTAAGCTGAAGTAGCAATAGTCCAGCCAAATGGCTTGAACAATGGACTACCAATTGTGAAGACAGGTTCTCTTGTGGCATCTTCGTTAATGTACTGGCAAATAGGCTTGGGTAAAAATTATTTATCGATATATTGAAATATCTATTATTTCTCATAAAAAAAATCGATAGATCGTCGTCAACATTTTTCAATCGCGATATATTGATATTTAATATTTATTTTGGGCTATCATATAAGTATCAATTTCGATATATGTTGTATTAATCGACAAAACATTAAGCAACAAATGTAGCTGTCCAACCATCCAGTAATACCATTTTGGCCCTTATCCTACTACATCATTAAAAACACGACAATATATTGATATTTATTCAGCAATATAATATACCCTTACTGTATAGCAAGGCCTGGAGTAACCAGGACCCTGATGCGTCGGGCCTGGTTTTTAGAGGCAAACCCGATGACCAGAAGGCTCTGGACTGGTTGAAGGGGAACATTAATACCCTCGACCTCAAATCCAACACCTCGCTGACTATTAAGAAACAGTCAGAGATACCACAAAGAATCAAATGTGGTATCCTTATCCCTGATGCCCAAGGTGCCTGGAAGGACTTACGCGACATTGGTCGTGTGCTTGCGTACCAGAACCGCTGGATAAACATCAAGGACTGGCTACTACTCAAAGCGGACAAACAGATGGACGGGTGGTTCCTCGTTTCGATGCCGGAGGATCATATCCCGACCCTGATGAAAGCCGGGCGCCGTCTCGCATGTGTATGTGGGGCGGTATACGTTCAATTCCAGGGTCGTGTAGGAAAATTCATTGATTCCCCACCTAGCAAAGAGGCCGGAAACCCGGAAGTCATGGATACCGTGGCCATGGTTGCCAGTACATCGAAATCACTGGATGTCAAGTCTAGTGAAAAAACGGCCAACACAACCGAGCCTAAGCCCCCAGTGGAAACTGTGCTCAGCGGCAGCTCACTGAGCGACAAAGAGGACTGCATTTTGCCGTCCAATTCCGACTCGATGGCTGACGATGAGACCCGAGATCTGCTGGCAGGCTTATTTTTAGGCGGGGACGGGGATGACACGGTCGATGATGGCGTGCCCTTCGTCTAAAACTAGCCTAGTGCAGGCCAACCTCCACCACAGTGAGACAGCGTCGGCTCAATTACGCAAGTGGTTGGAGGCACAAAGGACGGCCATAGCCCTAATCCAAGAGCCATGGGTTGGGGCTGGTAAAATTAAAGGCCTAAACAACCTAAGAGGTAAGTTATTCTACAACTCTGAGCATGACAAGCCTAGAACGTGTATTTATACTACTAAAGATATCTGTGCAAAACCAATAACAGATTTCTGTTCCAGAGACATGTATGCCGTAGCATTACAAAACACATAGGAGGAAAAGTTAGTCGTCGCCTCGGTCTACATGCCTGAGGAAGACACCCCTCCTCCTCACGACCTCGTCAGGCTGGTGAATTTCTGTGAGAGAGTGACAGAGGTTGTGATCGAGACGGACTCCAACGCGCATCATCCCCTTTGGGGAATGGAAAAACCTAATGAACGAGGTAAGGTTTTAGTTGAATATTTATTTAGCACTTACCTAACCATTTTAAACACTGGTTCTGAACCAACCTTCATATATAAACGGTGTCACACAATAATCGACCTCACACTTGCAACAGAAGGAGCAGCTAAACTAATAATGGGATGGCATATGTCGAAAGAGGCCTCATGCTCAGACCACAGATGGATCTGCTGCATACTACAGGTCGATATCCCCGCTATACCACCATGGAGAAATCCCCGCAAGACGGATAAAACAAAATACCTCAATAGGCTGACGTCTTCGCTCGTGGGTGTTGGGGGAACTAATACCATAGCAGATCAATCGCTCCTAGAAGAACAGGTAGCAGCTGTCACTAAAGCCATGATCGATAGCTACCACGAATCATGTCCAGTAATCACTCCACCAAAACATACTGAGCAAAAGCAACAGTGAAGGAATAAAGAACTAGACAGGAAACGTAAGAAGGTAAGAAAAGCCCTATATAGGGCAATGAATACCTCAAAGGATGAAGACTGGCTTCTATATAAGAAAGCTAAGTCTGAATACAAAAAATGTATCAGGTATCGATGCTCAACAGGGTGGCGCAAATTCTGTGGTAGCATAGAAACCAGTGAACAAGCAAATCGGATAAGGAAAATCCTAGCTAAACAGAACACGCCGGAATCTATCTCTTTAAAGAAACCTGACGGAAGCTACTCAACATCGCCGGATGAAACCCAACGCATCCTAATTGATACTCACTTTCCAGGTTGCTGTGTAGTTGAAAGGGTGAACCGGCATGAAGATGCACTGACACCAACAAAAAAAGACTGGGAATTAGCACAATGAGTGGTGACGATGGACAAAATCCATTGGGCCATTCATAGTTTCCAACCATGTAAGGCAGCAGGACCTGACAGTTTATTCCCGGCACTTCTACAGTGGGGGGGTAAAGTCCTAATAGTCAGACTTGTTGCCACAATGAGAGCATGTCTGGCTCTTAAATATGTTGGGATAGAGGGAAGTGAAAGTCACATTCATACTCAAACCACATAAGAATGACTATACAGACCCTAAATCCTACAGACCCATTAGCCTCACATCCTTTCTCCTAAAGACGATGGAGAGGATGTGTGAACGGGAGTTGAGAGGGTCGGCGCTAATTAACTTACCGCTACACGAAAAACAACACGCCTATAGCTTAGGTAGATCAACAGAATCGGCACTTCACCAGGTAATAAATAACAAAGATTGAAGAGGCCATCCAAAACAAAGCAATATGTCTAGGCTCCTTCATAGACATAGAAGGTGCTTTTGACAGAACAAATTTCTCCAGCATAAAAGGTGCCCTAATTAGACATAATGTTGAACCGGCACTGATAGAAAACAAAATCAGCAAAGCTAGTTTAACTTTCTGGCAATGCAGAAATATGATTGGCAAACAATGGGGCACTCTAGCTGCAATTAGACTCAAGACCATAAATCTTTTAAGTCAGAGTAGAGTCTCCCATACAGATATAATTGATAGAATTTACTCAAAAATTCCTATCTTACGTCCGTCCGTTAAGTACAGGATACAATTGAAGGAAACTGACCATCTGGAAGGATTGGGTCCAAGAGAGCTCAAAGTTTTCACGGATGGCTCTAAGATAAATGAAGGTGTGGGGTCTAAACTAAACTACCCATACTGTTTAAAAATATAGATATGGTATATATCAATTTTTCTTTTCACTTGCCCATCCCTATCTGGCAAGTACAGTGTTAAGTGTGGTTTTACAGTGATACTTACGCCAGCGCGGTTGATAAGCGTTGCGGACCACAAATGTTGCATCTCTTGGACCATTACATAGTTTAACCAACATGCGCGGATGGCCCGCACTGGCAGCAATCCAGCCGCGTGTTTCAACACTAAACGATGTAGAGAATGCGCCTCTCAGCAGTCTAGTGGCGTTTTAAAAATGTACTTATATACATCATCATCGTTGCTTTTTTTCCATATGTAATATACAATAATAAATGTGAGAACTGTATGAGGCAGCAAACCATATGACACTAAGCTGGTTTTATAGTGTCGAATGGGTCATCCGTGCGCTTGCGGGTAGCGCTGATCGTAAGGGTCACTGTAAAACCACACTAAGTGACCCCCGAAGACATGATGTGACAACCTAATGAAAAGTGCAGGTATCTGATGGAAACGTGGCTGAGGACCATGATTTGTCACAATCTATGAAAGAAGCTCACATTCAGCAGTGGACTTGTGATGGGATGTAGTGATACTAATAGCATATCTTGTTATGTACAAGACATGCAATTAGTATCACTACAATTATAGAATACAATAAAATATTACTTTAAAATAATGAAATTCTCAATACAATTAATGTACATAAATACAGTATAAGTATAATGCATACCAAAATGTGGCCATCATTTTTAATACAGCTTGATTCACCGTTTTCTCCTGAATGCTTCAACTGTATCATTTTCAAATGGTTTGGTAGCAATTCATTTCATTATAAGCAGCTGAAAAAGACATAAAATTTACATGTATTTTACTGGCACTGAATTTGTTTTTAGTTATACAATTTTTTTAGTAAATATGAATGCATCAGCATTAAAATGAATTGAACACAGTTTGGAATATTTTGTGGGCTGCCAGTTTTACCTTTCAGTGGCCTATAGCCATTTCGATTTTTTCACAGTATTAAAGGGAAATCTAAAAAATTAGAATCATTGTTTATTACTAACTGAGGTGTTAAATTTAACTACATTGTCAACACATAACCTATCTTGATTTTGCAAAATTAATAAAAACACATACTTTTACAGAATGTATTCATCAATAGGCATTAAAAATCCTTTCTATACGTCTTAAATATGATCATCGCATTCGATTTTATCATCAATTTAAACTAATACTTGCGTGAAGTGAGGAGTGAAAAGTTAATCCGCTAATTATTCGTTCACTGCGACTTTTGCATCCTAAAACACTACAACTTACCATTTTGCTTACATTACACCTTATTCACTTACTAAATTCCAGTAAACTACGCCAAAAAAACAAAATGAAAATCGAAATTTGTGAAAATATAAATCTCGCATCGTACACTTTAGCAGTTTGACACATATTTTTTTATAAAAATTGGCTTTACAGCTCTGGGTTCTAGCCCTTCTGAGCCTATCATTTCTTTCGGAATCTTCATTTTTATCTTTTTCTTCACAGTATGCTGATGCGTCACATTGCGAAGCCCTTTGGAGCTTTTGACGATAGCTCAACCCAGCGGACAGTTAATGACGACAGCCACTCAAGTTCATAAAGCGCCCAAGCGAACAAAGTAACTTGAGGTTTATACAGGGCCGCGCCGCCCTTGAGTGTGAAATGAGCAGCGAACACAGGCACCAAGAAAATAGAGGCACAACACAACAACATATTGTTACGAGCTTGAGGTTTGTAACAATAAAAACTGCCGATTGAATGACCAAAATTTACACTTTTATTACCGAACACCAATTAAAACTTAAAAGACACTAATAATTAATCACACTGATTCACTTTATTTTGCTCCGAAGCTTCGCTTGTCTCGCCAAATTCAATACTGCTCCAACCGCGTCTTGCAGTGCCTTTAAATATATATTTTTCACCGAAATGTCCAGAATATTCAAGTAAATACGCGCGCCAACCAACCAGGCGCAAAAAGTTCGAGTGTAGGGCTTCTAGAAAGCTTAGTTCTTCAATTCAATACTAGATGGCGCTGCTGGTCGAAAGTCAAGATTGACATTTTCTAGGAAGCCCTCCTCGGTCTCGTCCCCGACACTAGATGGCGCTAGTGCCGGGTACTTGACATCAACTTAGGCGCGCAACACTGCCCCCTCCTAAGATATGCTCATCCCCAGCATTATCGGCCCCATAATAACGCGCTATCGACCATCGACTCTTGAGAAGTACACTACAGATTGCACCGATAAAGAAAAGTAGAGCAAATTTCAAAAATTATACAACCAAACTCAATACTTTAGAAAAACAAGAACAATTCATACAAACCTTAAGTACAAACATAAACAAAATTGAATTAGAAGAAAATGAAAATATAGAGGCCATCCCTGTGCACATAAAATGTCTTATTGCAAGAAGAAGTGAACTGGTTCAGAAGAAGTCCTTAACAAAAGAAGAAAAAGACGAGCGTACATACCTCTACAAAAACATCAACAAATTAATGAAACGGGAACGTACAGAACGCAGAATAAAAAATGTTCAAACGCACCTTGAATCAACAGGTAGCTTAAAGAAAGTTAAAAATCTTAAAACCACCAAACGATGGATATCCTATATAAAAGATGATACTAATGATAAAAAAATATTGTCAAGATCTGATATCATAGAAAAGGTAACAACATTCTATAAAAATTTATACTCAGTAAAAGGTACTACTCCGGAAGTCGAAACGTCCTACCAGAACTCTACTACTCTAGCTAGATTCTCTACACTTGAAGTAATAAAGAAAATTGAAAGTCTAAAGTCGGACAAAAGCAATGGGCCGGATGGAATCCGAAATGAAGCACTAAAATTGGGGAAAATTATACTAGCACCATACATAACAATACTATTTAACAAGATTCTAAACGATAGAGCAATACCGAAAGAATGGGCACAATCGGACATAATTTTACTCAACAAGAAAGGAGACCCTGCCGTTATTGGAAACTACCGACCAATAAGCTTACAATCAAATATGTACAAACTATTTGCTTCCTGTCTTGAGGATCGCCTAGCAACGTTCACAGAGAAATTTCAACCGCCGGAACAAGCAGGTTTCAGGAAAAACTTCTCAACAATAGATCACATCCACACTTTAAATTTGATTAAAGAAAAATATATAGAGCACAATAGACCACTCTACCTGGCATTTATCGACTACGCAAAAGCCTTCGACTCTATATCACATACGAGCATGTGGAAAGCTCTAAATGAGTGCGAAGTACCATCGGAGACTATAGATCTTATAAAAGACATCTACTACAAAAGCAAAAGTCGTGTAAAGTTAGAGAGACATGGCCCTGAAATAAACATTTGTAGAGGCGTCAGACAGGGTGACCCCCTGTCACCTAGAATTTTTATAACTGTGCTACAAAATATAATGAAAACTCTGAACTGGGAAAAAAACAGGAATAAATATAAATAGCAAACTCCTCAGTAATCTTCGATTTGCGGATGTCATCATACTTTTCTCAGAAACAGCATCTCAATTACAGAAAATGATTAATGAACTAAATGATGTAAGCAATATGATTGGCTTAGAACTAAATGCTACCAAGACTAAAGTCATGACAAACCACCATATTATACCAATAAGGGTCAATAACAATATATTAGAATACGTTCAAATCTATGTTGACCTGGGACAACAAGTATCTTTCTCTAAGACAAGACACGAAGATAAGTTTAAAAGACGAGTTAACATAACCTGGAATAAATTCTGGAGCAATAAAGAAACCCTAAAATCAAAACTCTCTATAAAACTCAAGAAAAAATAATGGATACATGTTTACTACCCTGCCTTACGTATGGCTGCCCAAACATGGATATACAATAATAGGACTAAAAACAAAATACAAGTATCTCAGAGAGCAATGGAAAGGAGTATACTAAGTATACAAAGAAAACACAGAAAAGGAAACACAGACATAAGAAATACAACAAAAATAATAGATGCTTTCGAACATTCCCAAAAACAAAAATGGAAATGGGCGGGTCATATTGCGCGTATGGACAAAGAAAAATGGACACAGAGATTAACTAACTGGCAAGGACCACCAAACAAAAGGAACAGAGGTAGACCGAGAGAAAAATGGGTTGACGAAATAATAAGAAAAGCCGGTGAAAATTGGATCACAAAGGCAAAGGACAGACAGACGTGGAAAAAAATGGAGGAGGCCTTCACCCGTTGAGGGGTCCGTAATGAATTATGTTATGAATTTTGTACGTAAACTGATCTGAAAATTTATTTTATTTAATATTTTGAAATTTATATAAAATTTAGAAATTATTCGATTGTAAATTATTAATTCTATTATTGTGTTATACGCATGCATAATTATGTAAATCGTAATCTTAAGATATTAATGTTCTTTTTCTAAGTCATTCATTATGGAAATAAAGAGGCTATATATTATATATTGTTACGAGCTTGAGGTTCGTGACAATAAAAATTGCCGATAGAATTACCTAAATTAACACTTTAATTCACTTTACACTAATTAAAGTTAAAAACACTAATAATTAATCACACTGATTCACTTTATTCCGCTCCGAAGCTTCGCTTGTCTCGCCAAATTCAATACTTCACCGATCGCATCTTGCAGCGCCTATAAATATAAATTAGCACCGAAATATCCAGAATATTCAAGTAAACACGCGCAAGGTACTGAGAGTTCGTTTCAACTTCTAAAAGTTTAGTTCTTCGGTTCGAGACTAGATGGCGCTGTCGGTTGAAATATTAGTGATGTCATTTTCTGGAAAGCTCCCCTCGCTCTAGTCTCTGACACTAGATGGCGCTAGTGCCGTCGACTTAGGCGCGTAATACTGCCCCCTCCTAAGACATGCTCGTCCCGAGCATTATCGGCCCCATAATAACGCGCCAGGCGAGCCACATGGACGATCTTAGGAGTCCCTCTTGCGCCTTTCTGTATCCGGTAGGTTACATCGTTGATCCTGGTCACAATCCGGTACGGGCCCCCCATTTAGCTTGGAGCTTAGGAGATTTCCCTTTGCTGCGGACTGGATTGTGCAACCTACCTGGATTGTGTATAACACTAGTGAACCTTCGTCGAACCCTTTATTGTGCATTTTGGGTCGGGTTTTCATTTTCTCAGACATTTGCTGGCCCGATGGTCTGACATGCTCATAAATGTCATTCATTCTGTTCCGCAAGTCATTTGCATAATCGGTTATACTGCGTGGGGTATCAGGTGGTATCCCGGTGATCAGGTCTGCAGGCAGCCGTAGTTCTCTTCCAAAGTTTGCGAAAGCTCGTATCACTGCTGTACTTTCGTGAATAGAACTTCGATATGACAATAAAAACCGTTGTATGTACTAGTCACAATCTCGTTGCCGATTGTCTACAACTCTTGCTAGGTACCTCTCCAATGTCTGATTAAATCTTTCTACCATTCCATCAGATTACGGGTGATAAGAAGTCGTTCTTGTTTTATGAGTACCCATAACTCGGCAAGTTTCCTGGAATATTTGAGACTCAAAATTCCTTCCTTGATCGCTGTGAATCTACAAAGGTACTCCAAAAGGACAGAAGACTTCATGGACTAATTTATCTGCAACTGTTGAAGCTTCTTGATTTGGAATGGCGAAGACTTCTGGCCACTTAGTGAAGTAATCCATCACAACCATGAAATACTTGTTACCGCTTTCACTCTCCGGAAACGGCCCCGCCACGTCAATGGCTATTCTCTCCCATGGTGC